TCAGTGTGTGTGCAGGCGACGCAGGTGACGCCAGTGACATCATCGACCAGACTTTGGACATCGTAGACGAAACTTGCAAAACTCTGCTAGCTGAAGTGCTGGAGCGGCAGGGCGTCACGGAAGGCATTTCTTTCCCCGACTTCAGAGACGCAGACAGCGATGTGCAGACATCTCTGAACATGTCCGACGAAGCGATTGTTGCCTCGGTTGTCGAAGTGTCGCCAAATGATAGTGATGAGGACGACATGAAAAGCGACAACGCGGGTGATTCAGGTCCGACAGTGGCCGAAGCTGCGCATTGCGTCAGCGTCATGCGGGTATTTGCCGAGAAGAGGGGGCTGGAGGAAAAGCTGGCTCACAGCATAACCGAGTTTGAGGCCGCTGTCGTTGCTGCTAGGCCGCCGCGTCGTCAAATGAAGATTACAGACTTTGTCACGCGAAGTTAAATTACTGCATGTTCTTTGTTTTTTCATCGCACTCCCTGAAGGCTTCTTTTTTGGACAGGTAAGTGAGCGACCTGACACTATTTCGGTTAAGCAGTACTACCGTTTAGTACGTATTTTTTCCGAGCTCCGGCCAACTACGGTTTAACGAGGTTTCACTGTAGTAGGCTGTGCAGTGGGTGAAGCATGTGGCGCTAAAGGAACGTGGCCGATCTCTCTTTCTAGGAATAGCTACAACACAAAAGTAAAATGTGACTTCACAGAGGTAGCCGAGTGTTCGTCGTGCATTGTTTTGCCACAAGGGCGAAAAAATGAATGCCACAGCAACAAATTGCAAGTCACGCAAAAAACGGCAAGCAGCTCAAGACTTGCAGTGCACATCTCGAGCATAAAGTGCGCATGAAATGGGCATACACAGTACAAGCGCAGACAAGCTCAGTTAACGCAGCTTAACACTGGAAGCAGGCTGTTCAAACAGAAAGAAAGATGCACGAAATGAACATACAGGTATAAAGCGGACAATCGTGAACAACTGTGAAAATTTTTACTTCGTGGTGTATGAGCAGTGTGCTCCTTTTGTAAATGCGGTCGTGACAGAGATTGAAGTGGCCTTCATTCTTTCCTGAATCATGAGTCTGATGAGCACATGTGCAGGAGAGACCACACACCATAGAGGCGGCACTCATCGAAACGCAAAAGCTGGCGACCTGTAGAGTGCGCCCAAATGCGAGCTCTTGACATACCGGCGAAGTGGCTACGTGCGAAGGAATTTCATGAACAAGTACCAAGACGGACGCCGTGTGCCTTCAGAGAAAACAAAAACGTGGAAGCAGCTTGCGATAAAATTCAACAGCCGACCCAATGGGCACCCGTGAATGGCTGACCAAACAACTAGAGCACCACTGTGAGAAGTTTTACAGGTACGAGAAAAGTGTTTTTGAAACCACCATCAGCTACGAGACACTGACAAGGCCATCGCTCCCAAGTTGAAATGTGCCAACTCCATAAAAGTGCGATGCGATCAGCAGCTGCATAAAACGGGGCAAAACAAACCTATGACCATGGATGAATATTTTCCTACAGAAAAAGCATAGTGAGCACATTCTTCACGGCACTTTTTGTGAAGCGGGAGTGGCACGAAAATTCCTGCTTGTCAAAGGTCTCAACCAGGTTTCGTCAATCACTGAGGACTCGCCGCGGCGGTGACGTGTATGCTGTGCCGTTCAATATTTCTTCTTTGTGGTCCACATAATAAACGAAATACGCAAAGTTGTTGTGCCCCGCCTTGTTGTTTAAGGAAGCCTTCAGGTAGGTCATAGGCTACCTTAACCTTTAATTAAGTACGAGGAAAGTTCTGTGATAAGTACAAGGTAGGTTCTTGAAACGCGTTAAGGGCGAACTTATAGCTAAGGCTGACTTAAGTGATAAGGATAATGCTAAGTTAGGTTTATGAATACGGCGGTTAGTCTTCTACATTTGGTGCTGAAAGCCGGGACTACAGCTCAGGCTGGAACTGAGACCATGATGGCAAATATATTGAAGAAGCGCGTTCGCCGCCCGGAGGCGAGGCGGGTGCCCATCACGATTACTTTGGCTCTGTTCTGCTCTTGCCCTTCAGGACGACTCGAGGTTCGCAAGGCTAGGATGCCCGTGGAGATAGGAGATTTGTGTCCTGTCAGCCCAGCCCTCGGAGCAGTTGAAGATAGGTCTTCCCAATAACTTGATTTTCGCTTCTTCGACGACTTCAAGTCTCGCGAGGCCAGGATGATGAAGTGTTGCTATGATGACGCCCGTCCTGCAGGTCTAGCCCTCGAAGCTACCGACTGTTGATTACCCGACCCGCCCTGTGTGCGCGAGGATAGTCAATCAAACGGTCCTGAAGTCGGAATACTGATGCCTTTTAGTGAGAGTAGTTATGAAGACCCTAACCTTAGATTACATTGCATCACACCAACGTTGTTGATTTTGATGCGTAAAGCCAATGAACTAATGAGCGCTAAGAAGAAAGACAAAACGATTAAGGAGAATATTAGGCAGCTTCAAGATATTTGAAAGGCATTGCACACAGCACCTGATGAATCCTTAAAAGAAAGTGACGCAGCATTTTCGGCTACACCACCGCGAATCAGTAAGGCCTAGGAACATTGCTTATACCTTGAATCGACGAGACATGAATTCTAGAAAGTCGACCACCCGATGTTTGATAATATACACTTGGAGAACTAGAAAGAGATGTGGAACATTGTGAACTTTTTGACTTTGACATCTTAAGAGCGCTATGAGCCCTACAGCGTCAATTAGACGAACTACAAAGGAGACCATTTTGTGCAACCATCAGGAATATCAGTGATGAAGTCTAAGCCGAGCTACAGTATGTCACAGAGTGAGAGAATGCCCGTCGATGACAACGAAAAAAGGGCTGCAATTTTGAGGAATTCTGGTACCACTTTGAACAAGACCTAAGCCATGTAACTCTCAGAAGTGATGGTGAAGATAAAGCGAAACGAGCTGCGGTTTAGCACAAGCTGTCTGCATCTACTTCTAACTACGGCACTGAAAATAATGTCATAGAACGTCATGGTACTTCATCTGCCGTTTATGGAAACCCTGAAGACATTTCGAGCTACTCTGTTATTGAAGCTCTTGAGATCTGGCTCCACTGCAACAAAAGTGCCAAGCGTGTTCCTAAAGACAAGACGACCAAGCAAAGAACAATTACGAGTTAAAGAGAAAGAAGACATGCAAACACTTTTTAAGGGTACTGAACAAAATTTTTGCCACCAATATTTCCATCCAGATCGATAGATTGGGTCCTGAAATTGATAGAGACAACCTTCATCCAAGCGTAAACTGCAGTAAAATAATGAATTGAATGCCTTTTTCACAAACTGTCGCATCTAGCGGCAGCGCCGTGAACTAGGGCATGTGACGTTGGGTGACGCCAAGCTGACAAGCTAACAATGCTAGCCCATCCCTCGCATCTCTTGACTCGCTCAGTTTCCACTTCGGTTCCCAGAATGAGTACAAAGGGCAACAGCAGTGAAGAATGCTTCCGGCTGGGGTTAAGCGGCAGCGCTTTTGTGAAAGGGAAAGAGTGGAGTCAAAGGACAGCTGGGGGAAAGGAAGAGGAGGACAAGAACATGCCTCGGTGAGTTTGACTTCACTGCTTGCACTCGCGAGCAGCCGCCCCGCACTCACAATCCATCAAAAATTCAACCAACTGTTCGAAAATATGGAAAATAGACTTCATTCATCGGAACAGTGGCATCTTCCGAGTGGAACCTCGAAGTTTTGTCAGTTTTTCCTATTTTCGTTCAGTATCCCTTTAAAGATGACTCGTGGAAATTCCTACCAGCCAGAAGAATCAAGATCTCAACCTTCAGGACAAACTTAAACAACAGAGTGTGCTTCCGTGATATGCACTCGAAGATACACAGCCATTATGATCCAGGACTAAACGACGTCAGAACCTCACAACAGTACCCGACAGCTTGGAGAGAGAGAGACTCATTCTGGTGAATCGAAAGAAATTATGAGAAAGAAGGAAAAGACAGTCAATATGCATGAATGCCAAAGGCCTGACAACAAAGAACGGAGGAGCACACAAAAACGCTGAGAGCTGTGACATCATACCAAGTATGGGCGAGCCACAGACTTGCCAAACCGCATGCAAGCAGCGAGGTGATGTTGGAAGAACAACTGAAATTCGGAAGCACTCCAAACATCTATGGAAGAAAAAAGTCCTCGCTAATAGCCAGATAGGGCGCACTTGATTGCACGACCTAGAACTGAATTGAGACTCCCCAAAACTGCGTTTGGCGGTCTGCAAGACTAACTTGTGAACGCTAAGTGGTGGTTAGTACTAGATGTTGCACGCATCAACTATCGACCTTTTCTGCAGCCAGCGAATGAGAAGATAGGGCAACATGTTATACAAGGGGCTTGAATTCAGACTATTGCCTAGCCAGTGCGATGATGCGGCAGTGTTGGCTTGTATCGGAGGAAGCGGCTCGCGTGACACTTGCGTGGATTCGAGAGCTCTTCTTCCCCTTGGCATTCAATCGTGCCATCCTATTCTTTTCGCTTGTGTGCCATACCATCCTTTTCCTTTCTTTGTCGCGGGCAGGGTGATGTTAAAATGGAAGACGAAGATGGTCTCTCACCGCGCGCCTACTTTCATCATTAGGATCAGTGTGGGATTAGAGGTGGAAGGAGAAGGCAGGCATAGCGTCGTTCTCAGTCTTTTACATTCGCCGAGTAAACATAGAATAAACATCGTGTTTCTGACCTCCAACCGAAAGTCCTCGTTCTTATCAGACTCCCAGCGACAGAACCTTTCCCGTTTTTTTTTTTTTGTTTGCTATCTATTAGTATATATTTTGCGACACCACATCTGTGATGAAAATACGTCAGTGGTGTCGTGGTTGACACTAGCAGAAAACATTTTCGTGTTAAAACTGGACAGTTTCACATACATCTGTGTGTTATATATACTAATAAACACCCTGACCCCACAGAACTTGTATTGTTGAGAATCTATTTTACAGATGGGCCAACCTGTCTTGGGTGGTGGTGCTTGCGGCTCGGGCTCGGGAGGTGGTGTAGATGGCTGCTCCGCCGCCGCAGCCTGCTGCTGCTGTTGTTGCTGCTGCACTTTCCAAGGTCCAGACTGCTGGTCACCAGCCTGCTGGCAGTCCTCGCCATCCTCGTCCAGCTGCTCCCTTGCTGCCTCTTCCTCCTTTTCTTTTTCGCTGCATATTAAGGAAAAACTGTTAAACCCATCACGGATACTGGTGGAATTTGAAGTCACAAATCATACTAATTACAAAAAAGAATGGCATCGTCCCGTCGCACACTTAAACTTCAGAAGCATACATACAGACAAACATATATATATATTAAAGATTTTGTTTCTAATTTGCAGCTATATTTGTATAATTAAATTGTTTCATTGCTTTTATGTCTATACTCAAAAGGTTTCCTGATTTATTGCTTATTTGACGTTATTTCCAGCTGTATTCTGCTTTTCTTATTGTACAAGAATTAAAAGTCCCAGTGCAGTTTTCAACTTTGGGACCCTTGTCCGTATTTATTGTGATATACTGTTACGAATAAACTGAAACTAAAGTAGCAGGGCACCAGGAGATACCATAGTGGACTCTACAACTGTCATGAATACGCTACAAGCTACAAATTGAGGCCTAACAATGCAAACCATTACAGAATCATCACTGGTGCTGACGAGTGTACCATCACCGGCATCAAATGCTGGGAGCAAGCCTAGATGCAGGAGTGAGAAATGTCCCTTATTTTTCTGTACCGTCACCGGAATCAAATGCTGGGAGCAAGCCTAGATCCAGGAGTGAGAAATGTCCCTCATTTTTCTGTACCTGATAACCACCTTCAGCCATGAGACATCCCAGGCCTCCATCAATGGAAAGGACAGTCTTGGTAACACTTTTGCGTGCACACAGGGAACGGAAAAACAGAAGACAAACAAGGGCAGAGCTCTGCATATTCAGTACTAACATACCTGCCAAGTTGGAAAGATTTAACAGCGGGGGGGTTTAAACTCGTTTAATTATTATCTTCCCCATTTTCTTGGCACCAAAAGAAAACAAAACAAAAAACATTGCACAAGAACAAGAGGGGCGGAGTCCCAATTGCAAGCGCCAACACAGGCGTTGCAGTCTTATAATGGCTTGGAGTGGCCAAACACACGAGGTAGGTTTCCCACTAGGGTGAGAGTATCAAAGGAGGAGTGCAAATACTTCCGAAATTTCGCAGCATCAAAACAACCAGAAAAATATATTTCCGTCAAAACAACTCTCGTATATCTTCCTGGGACACACGTGAACGGACGGGATGGTGCAGCTGCATGCCGTGAAAGCACAGTTCAAAGCTTTGGCTTTGCTCGCTACTAGATTCTTTGCACAGGAACGCCAAAATGCTTGTAGCCCTTTTTTATGTCTTCAATGCCTTTAACCTACCGCTGAATTAGCCACGTGCCCTTGGAGCGCGTAAATCGTTATCGCATCACCGCGATCATGGTTTTGTGCACGGCAGTTGCGGCAAACTGTTGTTCGGTTTTCAATCTGCGTGCGTAGGCTACGTACGTGCCTTCAAAACTAAGTCATTTTATGCTATCTATAATTGCATCTGTCGCGATTTTGTCTAGAGTTTGCAAAAAGCCACGTTGCTTTGATGGGTCAAGCGTTAGACTCGCGCACGCTTTCGGAGTTCTGTCCCTAACACGTCGCCATACATGATCGTGTCAAGAATGTCCGCTACTGCGTCCACAGCGGTTGTGGCAACAACCACGCACACTGTAGAAGACAATACGGGTGCTGGTAGCACGCTGCTCTCGATCGACCTTTGTTCTACGGTTTCAGTACTAAAGTCCATCGATTGATTGATTTGTAGGGTTTAACGTCCCAAAACCACCATATGATTATGAGGGATGCCGTAGTGGAGGGCTCCGGAAATTTAGACCACCTGGGGTTCTTTAACGTGCACCCAAATCTGAGCACACGGGCCTACAACATTTCCGCCTCCATCAGAAATGCAGCCGCCGCCGCCCTGATTCGATCCCGCGACCTGCGGGTCAGCAGCCGAGTACCTTAGCCACTAGACCACCGCGGTGAGGAGGTACCAAAGTTCATATCACACGCCACTATTAGGAAATGTATTTAGAACATACAAACCTCAGCCCAATGGACACAGTGGAACTTGGTTGAGCGATTTCATGAATTTGTATCTGCCGCGGTCCTGCATCACTAAGACTGCTGTACATTTAGATGAACGGTCCTAAATTCGTTTATAACAAAATGTGGTGGGTTCGCAAAAAGCTTAGCGTGGACTACCAGCATATTTGTCAATGCGGCCAGATCACACGTAGAAATTTCAATTTGTGGGAGATTATCATGACAATTGTACAAATGGAAGAAAATGTCAAAATCTGGGAGTCTCCGGGACTAGGCTAGTATGTACTAAAAGCAGACTAAGAGCATGATCTACAAGAAATACTAGCTGGTCGGCATCATCCTGCACTAAAGTGAGTATCGTAATGGAAACAGGGTTGTTCCACTCAAAACAAAAGGGCAAGGTCATGTACCATCTGAAGACCACTTCATCATATTGGAGGCCCTTCTACAAGCATGTGACATACTGATCATTGCAGCATCTTTTGCAAAACACTTCTAGTCACCACACCTCAAGTATACCAAACATACCGTAAAATCCCGAACAAGTGCCCCGCTCTTCCCCCTACCGTGGATGATATTTTGATAACATTTGTACACTGGGCCTTCGCTCAGTCATGAATCAAAACTCAAGATGACGGTGAAAGAGCCACTAAAGATAAGGAATGGACACTCGTGCTTCTAGTCAAATGCTTTACTGAATCTGCGTTGATGCACTGTTTTCATTTGTACCCGTCGGGCGAATAAAAACAGAGAATGAAACAGCCATTGGTTGGAGAAAAGAAGAGGCCTCATGGTTCTCCCAAAAATGGGAACAGGGCACTTGCTCGGGATCTCGCGGTATGTCTTATCGTCAATTAAAGGCTTTAAAATTGTCCCCTTCTCCTGCGGAGAAGTTGCTTCATCCAGCCATACAAGCCCATAAGTATATGAATTAGACAAACATGTATAAATAATGAAACATTTGTTGTAGCACTAATCCTAAGCTCAATCCAAAGCCTTACTGCATCTCATCCTAACAGGAAAGAGGCTGCCATGGCAAGGAATCAAGCCGACAACTTTACGTCCAGCAGAAAGATGCCTCAACGACTTTGCGACAGAATCAGAAGAGGTAGTCAGCACTTTGCACACTACGCTTCAAGCTCGCGTTTAATGCTTATAGGCACACAAATGCCATGATGTGCATGTGCTGATCAAATCTATCTCTGATTAAGTAACCAAATAGACGGCTTGCTTTGACGTCACTGAAACCGCCATGCTGGTGAACTGCATGGCACACTCAAGGTTTGTGGCATCACACACTCATGTTATCACTATATCACTTGTAAATTCTTTCATTACCAACAGATAAAGGCCAATAAAATTCAGCCCACATTGTTATATTCAAGTACAATGGAATTATGCTGCCTCATTGTCATCAAGGCCAGCATGCTGGTGCACCAGTACGTTATGGAACTGCGACCATGACGTTGCATGAAAGCTATCTATAAATCGGCACTGGTCTTTAAACATAAAACATGATGCTTGGTTGTACGCAAGTCCTATCATCCACTGCTCTTGGCCAGCTGACACCAATGACATGGGGGGACCATCACTCTGAGCACTGGCCCAGCACAGAAAGTCCAAAAAGTAATAAGTGTTGGAAAAGGCGTGCTTCGTGTTAGCATTACTTTCATATCAACCAGATTGTCAAAAGCAATGAGGCATAAACAATCCGGTGTGACAGCTGCAAAGAACAGGATGTAAGAACTGACACACGAGGACACAGCGCTGTTTCTTGCAGCCATTCACTGAATTCAGTTGAAGTAGTGCACTTACTTAAAGCTTAGTAACTTACAATTTTTTGCTGCAAGTGTAAATTGGGAAAAAAATGCACAGATTAATCAAACAATATTGCTAAGATGAAACACATAATGGCACCAGTGGACTTTCTCAAACAGCATCTTTAAGCTTAAGGTAGCGGATAGAAAGTTGCACAACGAGTGGAAAATCTCAAATATCAGAAACAGATGTAATTTAATGGCAACACCCTTGTAAATCACATTTTTTAACCTTTGCATTATTCGTGATCTGTAGCAGATACAACAGAGATGGACGATCATCAAATGTTTAAAGAATGAAAGAATATACACTAGAAACAACAAATAAACTCTTGATCAAAATGAAAAGCTAAATATAAATGATTCTATTTTTACACAACTATGGTGAACTCCCACAGGTGTGTAAAAATTGTACAGTACTGCCCCCCCCCCCCCCCCCCTTACAAGGAGTGGCCCATTAATGAAGAGAGCTGCACGGCAGATATCTGTAAGTCTACAGCATTACACAATGGTTCCAAGAACTGCCCTGCTACTACGAAAAGCTTTGGAAGCTGCAGATGCAAGCACCTTCACTCTTAAAGGTATCAGGCTACAAAAAACTTGAGTACAGCGTGTTCCAGAAATTGTGAAGCTCACAAAACGACACGTAAGGAATCGGGGGGCAGAGCTTACTAGTAGTGTTCAGGAGCTGCCAGTTACCTCACAGTACGTCATCATAACTTGCCTCAAGCGGTAAGTCATTATTCTAACTTAACACACGCACAGAGATACACGGCGCGTTGTCAGTTAGGCCAATGAACGAAAGCCAGCTAATTCTAAAGTTGTTCGGCGTGCGCACTTACGCAATTGTGAGTGCCTGAATTCGCAGACCGCTGTAATCCACTTCTTTCTCCTCCTCGAAGTCGTTCCACTCGTCTTCGCCCTGGAAGTCAAAACGAACAGAAAGGGCGCCAGGATTAGCGGTCGCAGGGATGATTAATCAGCCGTCAGTGCAATTAAGGGATGTAAATACATCCGCATCCAAGTTATCGCAATGACGTAGTATGACTACCCGTGCAGAGACGACCGGCTCGCTACTGAATACAAGCCACGAAGATGTGTACAACGCATTTTCGTGGGAAAGCATATTTGCTCCGTCACGTAAGGGAAGGCCAGGAAGCCGGGAGTTGAAGCGAGGTCACGGCAGAACCGGCAGCGGCGCCGTATGGACACGCGCCGCAACCGCCTTACCTGAGCAAGCGAAGGGATTGTGACAGACAGCTTTCCCGAGGTGTTCTCCTGTTTTTCCTTGTCCTTCTTGACGGTCTTCTCGGCGCTCTCGCCGCTATCTGCCATCTTCTTGGCGATTTGTTCGGAAGTCACTTTCCCTTTGGTCTTTTTCTTGTTTTTGTCTTTCTTCGCGAAAAACTGGTCTAAACTTGAGTCTGCCATCGTGGTTCCGCTGAGGTTAGATGAATACGTGCGAGACAAAATGAGAGTGGTACTCAGTTTTAGGAGAAATAAATAGCCGCAAGTCGGACAGAGGGGAGCTCGCAACGTGTACCATGCATTCACAGGGCCACCATATTAGATCTTGTCCGGCGGCACGGGTACGCGAAAAACCTGAACCGGCTCAATCCGGTTATGTTTCAACGCTCAAGAAAACGTCTTCCACAAAATAACTCTGGTGTGAAATCATAATACGTCGTTTATTTGGTACCGTGAGCAAAAATTAGTACAAAAGATTTCAAATGTGATAATAGTGAAGATGTTTCTTGCCCGTATCACACCATGCACCAGCTGGCGCGACCATCGGGCGGAGAGGAAAGAGATCTCCGAGTGGCAATCTGACAAGCGAGTTGTTAATGTAGTGATCGAGTTCAAGGCGACCACTGCCTGGCTGCATGTAAACATCTCCCATGCGTCAGTGTTTCGCATCTTGTAGCTTCCGTTCACCACTATGACAACGGAAGAAAGGTTTCACGCGGCTGTGGAGGTGATCCGCGGCCTTCCAAAGAACGGTAGGTTAAACACGCATGTCTTTCTCGCGAGTAACCCATTTGGAACCTGTCGACGCATTGAGGAAAACTAAACCGATAGCGCCAAGGAAAAACCGGGTGAAAAGATTGCGCTTGTGTGTACTGAAAGGTATTCGTGAAGGAAACCATTGTCTTGACCATTCGGAGTGCTAGCAGTGAGTTTGCGGCATGCTGTAGCCGATTATTGCCAAGTATTGGTTGAACCAGGAAAAAAGAAAACGGTCCAACGTATCCGTGGCGTCACCAGTTCGAAGCCGGTTTCCTTGAAGCATCCTATCGCGCAGATCAGTGTCCTTGCAACGCATCGGGCAGTATCGCTTGTGTTGCTATCTTTATGCCCGTTTCGCGAGAGCACAAGTTTCGGAAGTGCAAAGTGCGAGTGTTCCGAAGCGTGCCGATGCGACTTTCGCTACCCGGAACAAAAACGTGCTCTGGCTTCGTTTTGCTTGAACGTCAATAATTCAAGCTCTCTTCCCAAAAGAAATAGAACGCCATTCACTTGCCGTAGCTCTGATTTTTTAGAACACGTTCTCCTGCCAACTGTGCAAGGAAGGCGGTCCCTGTGGGGACAGTCGCTGGGCCTTTATAATTACGTGCTTACGTAACACGTCATTGTTTTGTTGAAGGAAGTACCGTTAGTTTGACGTTTTATGCAAGACTGCTATGCCTACGTGACGGTATCGTTATTCTGTACACTATTACCGTACAGCAAGCGAGTTTCCTGTTATACGTACCAACAATGAAATGGCACTGCTGTAATGCTTTGTAGGATACGTGCTTTTGCTCGGTTGTGTGTTCCCGTTGTCTCGTGTGTCTGCACACAGTTGTGGGAATCGAGAACCATCATCTGCAATTTCATTGCGTGCAGGATCAGTTTCAGCCTTCACACGAGCTTCAGCTGAAGTTCTATGCCTACTACAAGCAGGCGACACTCGGACCCGTAGCAGAATGCAAAGTGCCCAAGCCCAGGTTCTGGGACATTGTAGGCAATGCGAAATGGTACTGTACTATTTTTTTTAAATAATGATCAGCTGAATTCACTAGGTTTCTTTCCAGTTGTCCATACGACTTATAAAGTTATTTATTCATAGGTATCCATTCCTTGGACTACGATGTTTCAGTGTAAATGTGTGTTAAACAGTGTTGCAGAGCAAATAATTATTACACGATTGCCTTGTTGGCTTATCGGCAATCCTGCAGAGTGATTTATGCCAATGATTTTAACCAAATGTAGTGCAACAGGTTGCAGTACCAAAATTTGTGGGTAAGTAAACTAGATTCGGATGATGCTGCTCGTTGCAGTCAACTATATTCTGTTCCAACACTTTGGTTCAGCACTACCAAAGTTACGGGGTGTAAGGAAGCCACACGCTTGCACATAAAAAGTAGGCCTCCTTTGGCGAAAAGAAAGAAAAGGAGCATTGCAGCGGGAGACGTGAAGGAACGCCTCGACGGAGCAACAGACATACGAGAGCCACGAACAGTGTCGGAGAGAAACAGCCTCAAAGTGAAGCTATCCGCCGGCATGAGATTCTACCAATCTTCAACAGAGCAATGAATTCACGCTTAAGTTAATAAACTAGCCGTAATAACTACAATTCGTTAAACAGACGCGGTGTATATGGTGGGCAGACGACACGGCGGAAATGAATACATGTGGAGGGGCTGAGGGGCCTGCAGCCTCCACAGTGCTGATGGGAACTTCTGAAACAGAGCATAGTTGATGTTCTGGTGCGTTATCTCCTCTTTGTATTTTTTAAAAGGTTTTGGCTCTCAACCAAGTCTCCATAAAATTTCAATTAAACTTCATTCATACTTTTTTTCAACTCATTTAAGAATATGGTGCATCTCAATTATAAAAGCATAAAAAGCAAGATACATGAAATGTTCTCTTGCTTGCTGTCTCGTTTATATAACTCTTCTGCAACAGACACAGCAGAGGTTCAGGCAGATTGTTAACATGTTAAGGTTTTAATGCAGATAAGTTGCTGTGATTTTACAAATTGATTCTGATTGCCTCTGCTGCCTTTTTAGGATGTGACTGAAGCATGTGCAAACTTGAGGCGAAATGCCCGTGTACTGTGTGACGTCAGTGCACGTTAAAAAACACTAGATGGTCTAAATTTTCAGAGCCCTCGAATGCGGCATCTCTCATAATCATATTTTGGTGTTTCGGGATGTAAAGCGCCAGATGTTATTACTATGTTACATGTGCGAACTTGCACCTGTGGCTTATACTTTTGTTATTTTGTGACGTCAGTTACACAAAACTCTAAGCCTAATGTAGATGTTCATGAGATCTTACTTGTGCTTGCCTCTTTTGTGCTTGTAAAATTCTGGGGACTTCAAAACTGGCTATGTCTTTACCTGCGTATGTGTTTATATTTGCATGTTTAGTTACATTTCTCCGAAAAAGATAATGAGGTGACTTGTTTATCTGAATATTTGTGTAGTTGTAAGCATGGTTTATCCAGAAGTGACTTCCCAAACACATGAAATGCTTAATAAAAAACTATATTGATCATTATGACACTATCTACTGCCAAAAAGTGATAATGACATTCAGAAGTTTCGTTGGTATCTCAATGGAGAAGAAAAAACTCTTCTGTGTTGGGTGGATGTATATTGCTAAGGGGGTCAAAATTCATCCATGGTCCCTTACTACCATGTGGCTTGTAATTACATCTTAATGGTGAATTGCTGTTTTGCTTCAATTTATTCAGAGTTATATCACGATATAGGCGCATGAAGCTGTTGAAGTAGATTGGCCTTATTTGAGTGATCATGCTAGATTCGGTCAGCTCTACTTCTCACGATATTTGAGGTCTGAATCGACTCTGCATCTCAAACAGTCGGAATATTTGACTACGTAAAGGGCATAGGAATGTGATATGTTTATTGCTCTACCAGCTTTGTTGCAGTAGTGATAATACGTACAAAGCGTGTCCTGGCTGTTGTTGCTTCCACTCTGTCATTACATTCAAAGGGCATTAACATTGCGCGTTTGAACATTTACCGACTCCAGTGGCCCAAAGTCGAATTGCCCATAAAAATTACGTAGCCAGATGGGCGAACTGCTACGATTTCCGGCTGCGGCGGCTGCATTTCCGATGGAGGCGGAAATGTTGTAGGCCCGTATGCTCAGATTTGGGCTTACGTTAAAGAACCTCAGGTGGTCGAAATTTCCGGAGCCCTCCACTACGGCGTCTCTCATAATCATATGGTGGTTTTGGGACGTTAAACCCCACAAATCAATCAAATGGGCGAACTGCTATGCTGTGCTCACACGATTTAGCAGCATTTGGTTTTCTGCTGCTAGGACTACAGTGGTGTGTAATAATAATTGTTGGGTTTTAACGTGCCGAAATCATGATATGGTTATGGTAAATGTCGTAGTAGAGAGGTCAGAAATTTCGAGCACCTGGGGTTCTTTAACGTGCACCTGAATCTTAGCACATCGGCCTTAGCATTTCTGCCACCATCGAAAATGTGGCCACTGCAGCTTAGATTGGATACTGCGACCTGCGGGCCAGCAGTTGAAACCATAGCCACTATGGCGGGTAACGATGGTGTCTATTAGGTGGCACTGCAGTGTACACACTGGCTTCAGTGGGATGGATGACAGCTGGCTCTAAATGGTTTACTTTACAGCCCAACACCAATTCACTTTTGAAACGAAGCTGCAGTGTTACACCATGCGCACATTTTTTATGGTTTTGACCAGTTTTCTTTAAGCATAGAGTAAAAGAGTGCTAACGGTTATACATCACAACAAACTGAACGCGTCATTTTCCTATCCACTATTCAAAACTCTTATCATTAACATGTCTAAAATGTTAATACTAGTTTACAACGTAATCAGTGCGCACACCTTGTATGTTAACAATGCTAGAAAATACTGCAGTCTTCTCCACGATGTTGCTAACAAAATGCACATTGTTTTATCAGCGCAGAAAAGTTTCTTTCTTTTTATTACATTTACTCCATATTAACATGGAATTATGTCCTGTGTGCCGAGGTAATGGTTTAGTCGCATCCTGAAATGCAAGCACATTTCTGCTTCTCCACTCGCAGGGATGCTTGGATGAAGCTTGGCGACATGTCGAAACAAGAAGCTATGGAGAAATACGTAGAGGAACTCGTTAAGGTATTGCTCGTCCAGTAGAGGGATGTCGGGTCTGCCAGTATTTTGTACGGCCATGTGTCTGTGTGCACCGTTCGCTCGTGCTTTGCTGCTTAGCCTATTTGTTTTAGCACAGCAGTTGCGTGCATTGCATCCCTGCACTTTTCTCAGTAGTTCTTGCATGCCACTCTTTTGGTTTTGATTCTTGATTTAGATTTGCTGGTTTTTTTTTCTCCCTTTCGATGCGCCTCTTTGAACTTTATATGCATCCTTCTTTCTGTTGCCCACAATTTTTATTTATCTTGTGTTCTGTTATTTTCGTTTTGCTTGTTTTGTTTATTTCCAGGTTGTTAAAAAGTGTCAAGAAACTGCCACAGAGGAGCAGGTATGATTACGCATCTGAAGAACATAAATTTTAAATGTTTAATTGTGTAAGGAATAATGAGAATCTCTGAATTCAGGCTGTAAATGTGAGCTGCAGTACTGCGAATTCGTAGACTGAGATCCTTCAGTCGAATACCTTAGTCGAAGGTTTTTAAGCCAAAAATGAGGCATAGAAGTCTTGGAAGTTTGAAGCCTCAAGGCAATATTGACAAAAACGGAATGTGGAAACGCATCACATTACCGGTCTGTTTCTATTGTTTCTATTCGCTTTTTTTTTTTCTGTTTATACCCTTTACTTTCCAAGTCTTAATTTATGGGAAGGAAAAGTTCACGGGGTTACTTTGAGATAATGCCAGCACCATGTTTCCTAAGGATTGTGTTATTTTACTGATATTACTCGCACCTTACATCTAATTTCTATTTTTTTCCTAACCCTTGCAACTAACTGCTCAAGTCTTGCGCTATAGTCAACTTTGACCTGGATAACTAGGAGAGCTAACCTGCCGTCTACAATTTCAAATCTTTAACTATTTCTTCGTAATGCCCAATGCGTGAAGTAGCCTTGCATTTTGCATGTCTGAACACTTCACTGTCACGTTCTTGTGGTGTCGGGTAAAAACAATTTGTAAGCTTCGTCCTATGCATGGCTTTCTGTAAGTGCATTTAGTCATTACTGGCTGCATGCGACAGTGTATGTTTAGCTTGGGAGTGTGCTTTGAGAAACACTGAGAGAGGTGCGCTTTCCACTGTAGCAACATAGTGTCGCGTCTTGTATTTGTGGTGGTTGCTCGTCCGCATTGTGCTCCCAAGTGTTTCTTGCTCCATGCTTGACATGCTACCTGTCCTTTAAAAACTCTTTTTTTGTTATGTAATGCATTCAGGGATATACTCAGCTATTGATAAATGCATGACTTATTTTTTATCGCATGCTTCGTGATTTGTCATTAACCCTATAGGGAAGCTTCTCATAGAAAAATTCTTCACTAAGCTGCGAATTCATAGAAGAAAATATAGAAGTAGCAGTCATTATATTTGCAGCTTAATGTATCAAGACAGAATTGCTATTAATTAGTCTACATTTTTCAGTCACTTGATTGCTTCTTGCTCATACACGATAAGGCAAGCTGTGAGCAACCTTAGCATGGTGAAAAATTTACATATGCAGCAGAATTTTTCAGTTTGTCTAGCAAAGTTCAGGGCCTGTTTAATAGTAATGATTTGTTTTTAAAAGACTACTACTTCTAGCAGTCTTTTTGCAGGTATTGAACTACTTCTCAGAGGGTAATTTAAGGGGGCCGTAAATATTTGCAGCAAATCTGTAATGGTCTGGAATAGTTTGGGATACCAGCTTAATAGAGCCATAAAATGTTGGTAAACTTTCATCAAAACTTTCGCTGGACAAAGACGAGCAAGTAGGTGACATAAGCACCTCCTTGAAAGTGATATGCCTTGCAGGTCTTGGCTACTACTACCAGTGCATATTGTAGTCCCACTTGTGAGTTACGAAGCTCACTGTAAAAGAGCGCGATTCTCGTGCAGCAGCATGATGTCTCGCTGAAGGTAATGCAAGGAATACAGGATTGCCCTTGTCAGTGATCACATTATAAAAAATATGTTCAATGTGTGCTATCTTCTTTCTTGTATGGTAATCCATTGCTTTGATTCTGTTGCCCGTGCCCTACATCTCGAAGTCAGTGTGATCACGCTACAGTACAGAGGGCAATCGTTTTGGGCGGTTAAAACAGTAGCTTTTACTACTAATATACACTTCACCACTTGTGCTGGGTACATAAGGGGTTTGTGTGTTTACATAACACTGCAGTTGACAGCAGGTGCCAGTATTTATTATTTTTTGCACTGATATGTCTGTAATTCTGAGGGGCTATGAGTGATAATTTAAATTGAGTAGGCTTCGCACATGTGATTTCGTTTGCATGTCTTGTGCAGCTTTTATTTCTATGTTGCCATGCATCAAGAATTGTGAGTTGTATTAGTCATTATAAGTTTTTTTTTTTCCAAAGGCACCTGCAGCTTGTGCAGATGTTGATAGTGGACTGTGGGGGTTGCTGATTAATTGGCCATCCCAAGTTGTAGAGATTCAGACGAGTTAATCGACGTGTCTCGTGTAAAGCACTCATATACTGCCGTGACAATAATAGCAAGGACAATAATGCTGCCGGTGCAGTGGCTAAAATTGTATCGTATTCTCCTGGTGGGTACAAATGAATCTTTTTTTCCAATTGACCCCTCCAATAATGAAAATGTCAGAACGCCTGCTGGGTAGTGTTAGTTGGAAATTTTTTTTGCGGTGGTAGAGTTACAGCATTGAAAGCAGACTAATTATTGGCAGGGTCTTTGTCACGTTTGCACTGTTGCTTGAACATAATGAGTTGTGGTAATGAACACCTTGTGCCTTGCTAGGAAAAGCCGAAACTTCACGCTAAGTTCATGGCCCTTCAGTCTTCCTGTTCTGTGCAACAAGTTTTCCTGCTAGTTTTTCATGTCATCATTTCTATTTTCAGATTGTTGAGGCAATGTCGTACACCGACCATGTGGCCAAGTTTGTGGATCTGCTTGGGCCCCTGTTTGACTCTGTTCCTGTTCCTCCTCAGATGGCCGCTGCATTTCCACAGGTCAAATTGAATGGCAGTCGAGAGTCTGAAGATGACATAGAGACAATCGAAGGTAATCACGGGCTAAATTGGTAGCTTTAAAAGGAAATGGCACAGTTAGGCTTTAGGACATATGCTCAGTCTTTAGTGAAAATCAGTGGGGTCGATATACTAAAAATTCTTGCATACTTATATTTAAGAACACTATAAAGAAAAATGCAAGGGGTCAGATTAATTGGGATGATCCCACTGTGGTATCCCTCATAATGATGTGTCATTTTGGTGAATTGAACCACTTAGCATAATTTTGCAATCATTGATTTGATTGATATGTGGGGTTTAACGTCCCAAAACCACCATATGAGTATGAGAGACGCTGTAGTGGAGGGCTCCGGAAATTTCGACCACCTGGAGTTCTTTAACATGCACCCAAATCTGAGCACACGGGCCTACACATTTCCGCCTCCATCGGAAATGCAGCCACCACAGCTGGGATTCGATCGCACGACCTGCGGGTCAAGCAGCTGAGTACCCTAGCCACTAGAACACGACTGGCTGGGGCTAATTTTGCAATCAAGCTAATCAACATTAAATCATGATTTTGCAATCAAGCTAATCGACAACATTAGAGCATAATTTTGCAATCAAGCTATAATCAACAACATTATTAACCATGGGGACACTGAAGTATAGCTAATCAGTTGTCGAAACCGGCAAATTGGAAGAAGTGTTAAATTTTGGTGCCAGCATTTTTTTTTCGTGAAGTTTTATACACTGATCTGCTGGTTTCCTAGCCAGAATAAGACCTTTTTTGCATATTTTATTGCAAGTTTGGCAGCGAGCCCCCATTTTCTTTCTTGTGTGTAGACAATAATGCTTAGTTTTGTGGCAAGCTGTCTCATATGCAGAAAGTTCAGTAATTAGGTTTTCTGTCTTTTTTCATTCCTAGCTGCAGAACAAGAGCAGCCATTGTACTCTAAGGCAGACAAGAAACAGAGTGAAGATAAGCCAGAACGGAAAGCAACGGGTAAGGGTGACGCATTTATTTAGAAATTAAACTCTCAGATTCTTTCGTTTGGCCTTGTTATGGAATTTGTGCTCCAGCAAAGTGTACTCGTTTAGTGCTGCAGTAAATACATTCCAAGTATGTGCATTTTTTTAACCATCGTTTTTATTGTGACGTAATGAAATGTACTAGACCAAAAAAAATAACTCTTCTGTCGGGCTGTTTACAGTTACATTCTCCTGGGGCATGCCACCGTTCATGCTTAGTAACGACAGTGTTGTACCCTTGAACGGCCGCATTCATTTGTACCATGGCGCACATGATCTTTGATTGCGCTGTTGTACTCGAGCTGGCACACTTGAAGGGCCCCTAAACCAGCTCTGCTATTTTTTTCAAACACTTCAAGTGAACAAGTGCATCTTGGCAATGCTACGGGCTGCCGGCGTGCCACAAATTTCACGAAACAATCCCTCCTCCTCTCTGGGCCTTTCAAGCTTCTATGTAGCGTGGAAAAGTTGAATCTCTGATGTGCAGTACATATATGCTGCGATTGATCGAGCAGGAGTCGACGACTTCCGCTTATTCTGCAAGCCGCTGTCCGCACTGCTTATTGTTGTTCGTCCTGTCGCCCACGTGCCGTGTTGTCGTTCGTCATGTTGCACCTGCATTGATAATGCCATTGGAGTGGGACGGGTAGCAGCGAGTGGGCAACCATCGCGGAATGTACGCACCAACCCACATCGTCGCCACAATCTCCGGAAGGCAGTGGGGGTGACTTCTCATATTGCGCGGAGGTGCTCTGGCACAGCTTGGTGCTGTACGGATCAATCACATTGGCGATCCTTTGAAGGCATGTACACAACACAGAGTCCAAGCCGGCATGATTCGTATGAGCATGCAGTTTACGGAGAGACGGAGACGCGGCAAGCGCAAGTAGACGGCATTTCGAGCAGCATGTCAGCGGTGATGCATGCCGCGTGAGATTGGTAGGGGCGCTCTGGGAGAGGGCATAGCGGCTTTGGGAGAAGATACCAATGGAGGGTAGCAAAGGAAAAAGTGCAACGAGCGATCACCGCGTTTGGATAATCAAATGTGTCTAACTCTAGTACGGCATCGTTTCGAAAAATTCTCATTGCCCCGTATTCGTTGTACACCTGTGCGCTACTTCCCCACCACAACTGAATTTCGACTTCTGGGTGGTTCTTATGGGCAGGTTACATAGCTAAACATATTTTAACTGCTGTTATGGTATGTTTGTGCGAGATGACCTTCAACATGGCCTCTATCATTCAGGTAGCACTTAGTTGTGCTTAGATCTCTTATACAGGTGTCACATGGATGTTTGATAGGCCTTCCAAGTGATGGTTTATTGAATCAGCGGTCAAACGCGATCTGCCACATCGGAGGTTTCGGAGGCCATCAAGTCAACAGAGAATCCCACATCACCATCGAAACTGCGTTAAGTGACAGAATCAAAAACTGCAAATGTGCCCTTTCATTCACGGTATGCTTGTACTCACGATTCAGAAAAAGAAAAAAAAAACAGTATATTTGAGTGTTATGAACTACACAAAGCATTCCTGATACTCAAATTGTGCTAACTGCACATAAAATAACAGCAAAGTGCTTGTCTTTGTTGGGCTGTCTGGCTCTGTCCTATTCTCCACAGTTTTGCTGGTGAAGCTCTTAAAAACAAATTATGCTGTCATAACTACAATCAAACAGTTTATTGAATTGTCTGACCAAGAATAACTGACATATTTGTGATTTTAAATCTTTTTATCTAATTTACCTTCTGCTGACATTAATATGAAAACACACAAGGATCGGCAGGGCCGCACCGTTTATGCAAAAACGCCCGAGTCACTCAGTGGTCAATAGACTGACAATGCTTCAATGGCCATCGACTGGATGGCCTTTCAAATGTGTTCATGGAGGCCAGGAATATGTTGTTTAGCTGTTTAGCATTTGTTCCTTGAACGTGATATGTTGTAGTTGAAAGTGTGCTTTGTATTCCGCTTGTTACAAATTTTAGCAGGAGGAATGAATGGCCATGGATCTGACTTCGAGAGCGATGAGGATGAATTTTCAGACACCTATGACCACATGGGAGATGTAAGTTTTCTCACATTCATTTCGTCTCCATTGTTTCTTGCGGGCTTACACATTTGCTTCTTTTTAACAAGATAGCAGCGTATTTCATTTGTGAAGTATTTTATACTAAAAATGTTGTGAAGTGCACATTGCTCTAGCAGTCAATTGCATTAGCATTTAAATTAAGGGGAAAAATAATTTACATTTAAAGTCAGCCTTGTTAATGTGCATTTGGCCACCTCTTGTCTCTTGCAATGTTTTAGGTGGTGTAGCTTGTGGTATCTTTTTAAGTAAATTTCTATTTTGATTTGTGAAATGTATTACTTGTGTACTCTTAATTGCTATATTATTCAATATTATTTATAGTTTAGCGCTAAAGTAAGTTAGAACTTTGGGGTTCCACATTTGCTCAGTCAGTCTTGGCACCTGCTTTCTTGTAAACGAAAAAGCAAACGAAAATGTATCTATATTTTTTCCAAAGAGGCCCAATTTTATTGTAGAGAATATCAATTTCACCAGCATTTGTTATACTGAGGATTAATTGCAGTCGTCAGTAGATTTTGCGGAGCAATATCGAACAACACAAAGCTTAATACGAAATGTCGCTGCAACTAGGCCAACCGTTGTGCAGACCATGCACCGTGCTACTGCTGCCAACAGATCAGCATGTAAAAAAGACGATAGTCTTGCGTCTGGAGAGAGTGAACAAGACATTTTTGATGTTCTGTTCAAGAAAATCGGTGAATGGTATTCTGGAGACGCTGCGTTAGAGTGCCTCGAGCGTGTAGCGGAGGCGAACGAGCGCATTGAGGCACGTTAGACACAAGTGCCATCTGGCAGTTATCTTCGAAAACGAAGGCATGCAGCCCACGCAGAAAGATTCGCGCCAGTCTCGAAGGTGATAAGGTGTAGAACGCAAAGCGACGGGCAGGTGCCACCACCGTGATGTCGTAGCAAAGCGTTGGGAAACACCTTTTTGAGCATCGCGTTGCACTGCGGAGGGACCTAAAAGAAGAACTGCGGAGGGACCTGAAAGGAGCTAGTCGGGAAATTGTTGAGCTGAAGCAATACAGCCGAGATATTAATATTGAAATCCAAGCTCTTCCGCTAATCGAAAAAGAAAACTTGGAGAAAACTTAAAGAGTGCTTAGAAACTGCTTATAAACTGATGTGATGCGAAAGTGCTTAGAAACTGATGTCACAGTAAACGACATTGACGTCGCGCACCGTGTAATATCGAAAGATAAAAAGAAATCAAAGGTGGTCGTCAGATTCCTCACCAGAACGGCGCCAGACAAGATGTTGTCCGCAGCAAAAAAAATTAAACTAGATAGCACTCGTCTTGGTTTTGACAACAGTAACCCTGTATATATAAATGAACACCTGTGCATGGAAATGAAGGTTCTGCTCAGTAAGGCGCGGCAAGCAAGGCGTGAAAGAGAATGGAAATATGTATGGGTATCACAGGGCAGGATCTTCATGCGGAAAGCAGACAGGACAGCTGTTTTAAATGTAACTTCTGAGGCGTATCTGGCTAAAGTTGTCTAGCTTAATAGTAGACTTACGTATATTTCTGCTGTGAACAATGGCAATGTATTCCAGCGTTTCTGAATTGAACTCGTATGTAAGTGGCAGTTATAGGCAGCCCATGACATTCCTTCACATTAATATGCAGGCAGCTCGTTCAAAAGAAGAAAACTTTCTTTTGTTTCTTGATGAGTTCAATTTTTTCTTTTCTGTTATTATGATGACTGAAACTTGGTACCGTAGTGAAACAGACGTGTTTTGTATTGACGGATATAACGTTGTGTACCAAAATAGAAAGTTGAGAATTGGTGGTGGTGTATGCTTGTATGTCAAAGCTGAAATAACGTACGAGTATCGTGAAGATCTGTCTCTGTGCACCGATGACCTTGAGGCGTTAACTTTACAGTATTACAACTACATTTTTGTTGCAATTTACAGGCCACCAAGTGGCAATTTCGACTCATTTATTCAATATTTAGAAAACCTATTTTCCGTTGTAAACCAATTTAATTACAAGCTAGTGCTGGGAGGTGATCTTAACATAAATATGGTGTGTGACACACATAAACAGATGAGACTTTCAGACCTTCTTGCTTCTTTTTTCTTAACAAACATAATTACCATTCCAACACGTATTACTGATACCACTTCTACTCTATTAGACTTGTTTATCACAAGTAGTACAAGCAGTACGTTACAGGCAGGCGTCCTGCGTGCCTCGATAAGTGATCATTTGCCAATATATCTAGTCATAGTAAACATAACCAGTCTAAGGAGTCAAATCCTTCCTGCCGTTCACTTTCAACAAATTAATCCGCGAACGCTATTTTCTTTTAGAGAGGAAATTAGAACTGTAAATTAGAACAATGTTCTATCTAGTTCTTCTGCTGATCTTGCTTATGATTGTTTTATTGATACTCTATGTTCTGTGTATAAAAGACATTTTACTTACAAAGCTTTGAAGAGACCAAAACGGGCACGCAAACCTTGGATTTCTTCCGCAATACTCAAAATGATAAAAGAAAAAAATAGGTTGTATCACGAGTTTCTGATAAAGCGAGACCCGGATAAATTTAAACCTTTTAAGGTATACAGAAATAAACTCACTAAACTACAAAAACAAGCTAAACGCGATTATCACTTCAATATGTTTGACGATGTCACCGATTCTAAGCAATTATGGAACAAACTTAATGCTATTATATCTACCAAACAAGTGTCTAGTGATATTAGTGAGCTGGTGATCAAAAATAAAATATACAAGGGTGCAGTACTAGCAAACAAATTTAACGAGTACTTTACCTCACTAGTTGACAATAGTCATAATTGTGATTCATCAGGTTATTTGCCTCCTGCTTTAAATAATTCTGTGTTTGCTAATCCTTCAGACGCACAAGAGGTCATCAGCGTTTTTCAGCATTTTAAATTGAGTAAAAGCGAGGACATAGATGGCTTAAAATTAGAACCTATAATATACATTTTAGGTCTCACATGCACCTGCGTAGTACATATTTATAATCTCGTGTTCACCACTGGGCTGTTTTCTCGGAGAATGAAAACCGCCAAAGTAACGGTTATATATAAGGGTGGGGACAAAAGCAATTTAGGAAACTACAGGCCAATTTCGATTTACCAGTTTTCTCTAAAGTGTGAAAAACTTATTTTCATTCGGTTATCTAATTTCTTTAATAAATACAACATTATTACGCCGTCACAGTTCGGTTTTCAGTCAGGCTTCTCAACCGAAAGTGCCTTACTATACCGAAAGCAATTGATTCTAAGAAATATAGAAGCAAAAAAACTTACCCTAGGAATATTTCTAGATTTCTCGAAAGCTTTTGATAGAATAAACCATGATATTATGCTATAAAAACTTGGCTGTTATGTAGTTCGCGGTACCGTTTTAGCTTTAATAAGAAGCTACTTATTTAATAGGAAACAATGTGTATCAATCAATCGAGAGCTATCATCATCCATGAACGTTTAGAATGGTGTACCTCAAGGTAGCATTTTTGGACCCCTATTATTTAATATTTTTATCAACGATATTGTACGTATTGACAGCTCTGTTGAATATGTAATCTACGCGGACGATACCAGTATATTTTTTTCTGGGGAAACGGCTGATGACCTCATTGTTTCTGCTAATGAAATACTAAATAAAATATATGCCTGGACTGTGGCAAATTCTCTACACATTAATTGCTCTAAAAGCAAGGCTGTACTGTTCCGTGCGAAACGTCTCACAAACTAATACTTAATAACGTTGAAATTAAACTTTGTCAAACAGTTAAAACTCTCGGTGTCCATTTTCATGAACACACGGCATGGGATTACCATGCCGAACACATTACTCACAAACTTAGTAAAGATTTAGGTGTGTTGCATCGATGCCAGAACATACTACCTGTGAAACAAAAAAAAATATTAGTGTACAATGCTCTTTTTTCTTTACATTTACACTATTGTCATCTGGTCTAGTCTACAGGCTCTAAAGCATCTCTAAAGAACCTGGTCGTGTTACAAAAATATGCCTTGCGGTGCATTGAAGGTGTATCCTATAACGCACACACTGCTTCAATATTTGCAAAATATAGAATTTTAAGAATTATCTGTTATAACGAATACCAGCTTCTGTCAGCTTTTAAATCAGAAATACGCAGCGGAAGTATCTTTTTACGCACCTTGGCCACCTTGCAACCAAATCCTGCCAGTCGCGTTACTCGGTGTACGGAGACTTGGCACGTACCTTGTCCTCGCACAAACTACGTTGTCCTCGCACAAACACTACGTTACCGCCTTTCAAGTGTGATGAACAAATGGAAACTAACAACTGATAATCTGCGTATATTGTCTAAAACTGAAATGTTAAATCGGATGTGCTGATTGTGTTGTAAATGAATGTTGGGTGATTTCTGTAATGGTTATTCAGTTATTATTCTTTCATACATTGCTTTGTTATGAATGTTTTTGTATGTATTTCAGAGTTGTCATTCTATTATTTGCTGTCATGGGCCACACGCGTGTTTTTTTTTGTATTGTCGCTTTCCGCTGCCTGTAATTTTTGTAAATTTGTAGTTTAGATTTTTTCTGGGTGAAGGGGCCAGTCAAGCTGTGAAATGCAGCTTTCTTTCGCTTCGTACCACACAACGTATACAGTGTATTTTCGTGTACTTGTCACGTGGTTGAATAAACTCAAACTCAAACTGTCAGCGCAGCGCGATAAACGCTACATTCCTTAGAGTTACTTGTGTGTGCCTCTTCTGGTATAAAGGCAGACATACAAAACATTGAAGCGTTGTTGTGGTGCTTCAGATATGTGCAATGATTGCTTTTTAATTGACAGTTGCACAACTATGAACGCTAAACCTTGAGCAATATTGGTTGGCGCTGCGGATGGGGTTGGCCGTTTGGTGCCGTTTGAGGTATCGTTAGGGCGGACAAACAGACAAAAGTACATACAGTTAGACAGACCAAAATTTTTTCGTCGAAGGTTTCCAAGAAAGACTATCGTCTTTAAAATACTGGTACTATAAGAGTGAAATGGTTACTTCGAATAATGCCATTTGGGACCTGCAATCGCTGCAGAATGTTTGAACAATGGGACAGCAAAGTCTCTCAGCATCCAAAACTTCAGATATCCTTGTAAATTTGTTCGGTTATGTAGTGGAAATGCTGTAGAGGCATCCAAATCGTCAAGAATATCTGAAAAGTGTGTCGGTATTGGTATATTAAGGAAATTTCATACGTACTGAACCAGGAGGACGAGAGTGGATCACCCGAGCCTCGAGAACGAGAAGCCACCGGTATGGTGGCCACTGCGGTTAATGAGGCCCTCATGAATGGCTCCAACCGGGTCCTGGTGCAAGACAGCAAAAGCCAGCTGTGGGCATTCTACCCAGATGGGTCTAAGCCGCCCAATGGAGAGCTAGCCTTTGTGAGGGGAGGAGGTGACGACAACCCTCACAGGGGTGCGCCATTACCCAGATCCGGACCTGGGGCTGGACGCTTGCCCCGATCACATCGCCGTAGAGGTGAGTGCCATTGTTTAATTTGTTGAAACCACTTTGTGGAGAGTGGCCAGGTGGATGTGCTATCTCTGCATTATTTTGCCAGCTTGTGAGTTTCGGCTGACCATCTTGTTTTGTAACATAGCTACAGGAATATACGTGCAATAGACTCTCTGTAAATGTAAATCTCAAAAGATACTGAAAAAGATACTGAAAACGTTTGTCAACAGATGTTCTGTATAAATTGAAAGATTGGGTGTTGAAATCAATACACACAACCTCCATCTCGGACAGAAACTACAGGAAAATAATGAATCTAATGATTTTTTCACAAACAGCCACAAACTTGACGTTTGGCGGTGTTACACTCACTAAAAACGGGCATCCCAACAATGTCAGCAGTCACACCTGCACTATCAACTCGCTCAGCTCCCACTACGGTTCCCAAAACCACCAGGTAGTGAAAAATGCTCCAAACCTTGGTAAAGCATCAGCTTTTTGTGGAAGGGGAAGAGTGGGATGAAAGGAAAGGTGGAGAAAAGGACAGGGACACGTGCACCATGCATGCGCATCAGAATATGTGACATCACGGCTTGGGTGCTCGTGCACTTACAATCCACCAAAAATGCTGTCAACTGTTCAAAAATACATGACATACACTCTGCTTATTGGAAACAGTGGCGACTTCCAAGTGGAATTTCTATGTTGTAATCTGTTTTTCGAGTTTTCCACCAGTATCTCTTTAAAAATGAAATTGTGGCCTCAAAAATGATAGGTTTCATACTTGAATGTCTGTGCCCTTGTATATCTGTCAGTTAACAGAACTCCCATTAAACGGAACATATTTATTCTGGTCCCCTCGGGTTCCGTTCATCGATTGTGTACTGTATTGCTGAAGAGTTTTTCTTCATTGGTTCTGTTAACTTCATATCACTCATTGCCGCAAGTTGCTAACACAGCAGCTTGATGAAAGCAAGGGGTCAGTACAACATCACAAGAGAGCAAAGACGAATGGTAAACTTATATGTCAAAGTACAAATGGTAAAAGACAAAGATAAATTGGAATATTAGCTCATAATACGGCATCAGGGATCAAGTATTACAGCGATTCTGTACCGATCCTCCTCCTGGTCAATCTTCTCATGGCGTATAGTGGCACCTTGACTTTGTACTACCAGAATACATTGTTGTGAGTGCTGGACGATAACTGTGTAATGAAATTGTTTAGAAATAAGTGTGGCTCTCTTTACACTGGCAAAGCTTCCTGCCTTCGTGTTGCTTCGGCTTGAGGTTCAGTGTCTGTGCTCGCAGACGGTGGAGCCGAAGGGTCTGCGTGGCCTTCACGGGCAGCTGGCCGGCTGCCTGGTGCGACGGGTGGCACGGGCGGCGGTGGCGGTAGTGGTGGCAGGCCCCAGCTTGCCCTGGAAGTGAGTGAGCAGCTTGCCGTGGCCGTGCTACGGCTGCAGCACACCATGGACGAGGTAGTGGCGCGCCTCGAGGTTCTCGAGACCCTGCTTCAGCATGCCAAGGTGGGTGGGTCACTGGCCGATAGCAGAGTCCCATTAACAAGCAACTTTTTCTCGTAATTTCTATCTAAAGATCTGTTACTTTCTCAGTCGAGCTGCTACTTGTTACTTTTTTCTGTTGTGGTGGAAATGTTGCGCTGTTACGTTTAGAGGAATTGGGTGATTGCGCCCACCAAATAACGACACTGTATAGAGGAAAGAAAAAATTCGGGATGCATTCTCTTCTACTAGGAAAATGGGGGCTTGGCGTGTGTGCCCACTTGAATACTTTTTTTTCTTTCTACCACATTGTGCAATGCACCTTTCCAATTTTTTCCTCCACCCATGCCAGGGATTGAACCTCCATTCATGTGCTTTAACAGCGCAACACTTCTGTTGCTGCAGCCAACAATAGCCATCATGCTTTCATATCCGTGCAACGTGGCTGCGTGACATGACAACCGACATACGATGATATTGCCATATATGATAGTATCAGGACTGGCTGATCACTGAATAACCAATGATTGACACAGCATCAGTAATTGTAAAATGACACTTACAAATACATGTGTAACCGGCACACCTTTGAGAACTTTATTTTTGTACAATCCCCAACGTCAGGTTTTCCGTAAACGATGTCGCTGTCACCACAGAAATATAAATTCAAAACATATAAAGATAAACTTTATAACGATAAATACAAACTGTATAAAGATTTAAAAAAAGTGATGTGAATAGATAGCACTGATACAAACATTTGTCCTAGAAAGTTATGTCATTTCCATATGCTTCAATAAATAAAAAAAATTCATTTTTTTGTGCCTTGATAGAGGATTTTACATTCCATTGCCTTTCAGAATGGCCCCCCCACTGCCTGATTTCATTGCTATATACCGTATTTACTCGCATAATCGGCGCACTCGCATAATAGGCGCACCCCTAGTTTGGTCGCGGGAAATTCGATTTTTTTTAATTCCGCGCATAATAGGCGCACCCTGAACTTGGCCGTGATCAGAAACGATTCTACCCCTCAGTGGTACAGTTGGAACGCGATCCCCGTACCCTGAAGAAAAAAAGAAGGCAAATCGACGAGCAAATAAAAAAATTCGAAGTGCAATGACCTAACCAACGTGTTTGTCGAAATAAAACTTGAAAAAAAAAAAAAGTGTCCATGAGCGGAAAAAAAAAAAAAAAACGGCTGTTCCATCAATTACTAATACCCCTCAAATCGCCGCGCTTTTTGAAGGTCACGTGTACAACGCCGGGCGCTCGATCGCCATCACCACCATCAGAGAAAAAGAAAGAAACGCCATTTTGCAAGCGGTGTGCGTATGTTGTGGTCGTGTATTGAACTTTGGTTCCACCATGGGGAAGTACGCGAGCTACACGGCTGGGTTTAAACTGAAGGCAGTGCAGTACGCGCTGGAGCACGGCAACCGGGCTGCAAGCAGGCATTTCGGCGTTGGAGAAACCAGTATTCGGTACTGGAGGGACCAAGAAGAAAAACTTAAGGCGATGAAGAAGACACGACGGGATTTCCGCGGTGCCAAGACCGGCAGGTATACGAATGTCGAAGAGCAACTGGTCCGGCATATACGGGAGCTACGACAAGACGGCTGTGCTGTGTCGTTGGATATTGTGCAGACTGAGGCGCGCAGAATAGCCCGAGCGCAGGGCATCGAAGCAAAAGAGTCCAAAGCCAGCTCCGGATGGACAACTCGTTTCATGCGGTGCCATGGCCTCGCACTGCGAAGGCGGACCACCTTGTGCTAGCGCTTGTCCGCAGCATATGAGGACAAAGTGGTGGACTTCCACAGTTTTGTTATAAAGCTCCGACAGCAGAAAGACTTCATTTTGTCCCAGATCGGCAACGCTGATCAGACCCCCCTTTGCTTTGATATGCCGTGGAACACGACAGTGGAGGAGAAAGGTGCACGGAGCATCATCGTCAGAATGTCTGGCGCTGATAAACAACGATGCACCGTAATGCTGGCGGTGACAGCGGATGGGCATAAGCTACTGCCTTACGTTATTTTTAAACGTAAGACGCTCCCAAAGGCAAAATTCCCTCAAGGCATCTACGTCAGAGTCCAGGAAAAAGGCTGGATGAGCGCGGAACTCGTGGTGGATTGGGTGAAAACAGTCTGGGGGCGGCGGCCGGGTGGTCTGTTGTTGCCGTCCATGCTTGTCCTGGACAGTTTTCGTGGGCACCTAGTAGACCGCGTACGAGATGAGCTAAAGGAGCTGCGCACAGATCTGGCAGTGATTCCGGGCGGCCTCACATCGATACTGCAGCCTTTGGACGTGTCCTTGAATAAACCTTTCAAGGACAATGTTCGAAGGCTGTACACCACCTGGATGGCTGGAGGACAACATCAGCTGACTCCAGGTGGTAAGATTAAGAGGCCGCCTGTGGAAATGCTGTGCGCTTGGATCGTGGAAGCGTGGCAGGCGATCTCCGACGAAGTCGTCAGGAAAAGCTTCAAGAAGACGGGTATCTCGAACGCACTGGATGCGAGTGAGGATGACATGTTGTGGGGTGCGGATGATTCGGACACCGAAAGCGAATCCTCGTTCGGCGAGGATGAATGTGTGATCTCCGACTCGGACTCCGAATAGGGAAAAGGAGGAACAGCTACGACTTTTGTGTAAATAAATTTTACGTGTGTGTGTGCAGTTGACGGCTCTCGCTTGTTCATTAAAAGGTACGTAGGTATGTTTGTTTTATACTGAATTAATTGGTAAACGATAAAGTCTCTTTTTACTTGACAAGTGTGCAGATTTAAAGCGCGAGAACCGAGTTGAAAAAATTTTCGAAAATTTTACCCCGTGTAATTGGCGCACCCCTAACTTCGAGCCGGATTTTCTGAAAAAAAAGTGCGCCTATTATGCAAGTAAATACGGTAATTGATAATGCAGTATAGGGGCATTGTAGTAAGTGGTTTATCTTACCTTGGAAATCATGAAAAAGTTGCAGCTTCTCATTGTTGTAACTAATGTAGTGGTAAAACCGGTATTTGTTATAAGCAGGCTGAAATGTATATGTAGGTACTTATAACTAAATGTACATGAAAAAAGTTGTTCATTAGTAAATGTTGCTGGATGTAACGCTTTGATATATTCGCTGCCCTGACAAGCCCTTTTGTCAGAACATTGACCGCAGCAAAATTTGCGGTTGAACGATGTTTTATTTCTACTTCAAGGCTTCATCTTCCAATATAAAACTAATATATTGCACATTGAATGCATTTTCAGTTTACTTATGGCATTATTATGATTCTTCTATTAAGCACCCACTTCTATGATATACAGTCTGACCTTTTTATAGAGATGCTGATTTAAGACACGAATGGGTATAGGGCACATCAGTATGCCTACATTGAAATGGGTGTCAATAAGGAAATGTACACATGGTGCCCTGTTCATATAAGACGCTTCATATGAAAGAAGAGGATTGATTTCCGGAGCATGTCTCTTATAAAAGGTTTCAACTGTATTACAAGTAGTATTTAGTGCTGGTATGCACATTTAGTAAGCTCGATGCTTCAATTGACATGGCACTTTGCAAATGTTGGAACGCCATAGCCAACCGTTAGCCACTGCCGTCGGCTCATTGGTATTCGTTGTTTCTCGACAGGCACCGCAAAACCAGCGCTGGTGGCTCTTTGGAGGTGTTGCACCACACATCCTGGTGCTCTTGTTTGCCTGGCCCGTGGTTTTTCAGCTTGCCTTTTACATTCTCAGTCATCGCAGAGGCAGGCGTCTCAGATGAACGCAGAACTGAAAGCCCAAACGAATGCGACACATAAAAAAAGAAGGATCTGGATTCCTCACGCACGAAAGCTGGCTGTTATTGTTTCAGTGCAGTTTCCATGCACACTGGTTATATGGCAGCCTTTTTCGTTCGTATCTTGTAATGTGAGACACACAGCTGTAGCCAGTCTAACGTACGTCTTTTTGATGCAAGAATCGTTGTGTGCTGACATTGACACTGATTTGTGAGGGGACATAGTTGAGAAAGAAAAAAAGGGAATCCCATTTCAGTGGATCGCATATTTTTCAGGAACATACCTGGGTGGTTCGCATGTCCTCTTGCCCATGAATATGGCAAGGCACCACCACTATTACCTTTTGCCAGCACACTGTACTGCAACATGTGCTCGCTTACTGTTCGAGCGATGTCATCCTAGAGTGCATTGGGTCCACTGCAGTTGATGGTATTTTTGGCACAAATGATCTTTTTTAATTTTATGCCCGTGAATTGCTGTAGAACAAGTCATGTTTGGTGACGTAGCATCTGAAGCATTAGCGTGTGGAAGAAGTTATGTAATGCACAAGACCCTCAGAATTTTAGTTTTGCATTTATATTTAGTATAGCTTTTTTTTTTATCTAAAACTTGCCATCTTTAGGTGCTATCTTAGTAAATCTTCTATGCTTGATTTCACGAGTATGTGCAATATGTAAACGACTTTTTTGTATGCTGTAAGCATTCTCTTTTGTATATGCTGTACATCTGCTTATCATTCTGCGTGGTCCTTGCTAGGGTGCAACAGCTGAACTGACTGCGTTGATTTGATACGATTCCTTATTTTTGCACCATGCTGAGCCAAAACTACGAAATATGTTGAAATGGCACCATGCTGTGCTGAAATTCCCCACCATCTTCAAAAAATTTTATCAGTTGCTCAAAATTAGCAAGAAATGGATGTTTCTGCAGTTAGGGCATCATGCAGTTCCATCCGGATGCACAGGTCATCACCTCAATCCTAGCCAAACTGAGAAAGAAAAGCTAAAGGAACAGTGGTTCTACAATTTGCTGGCCTTGTTCTATCATGTGTAGTACAATTTTTATTAAGCCACTTTTGCCGCGGTACGCCAGTGCCCTGCAGAAAGGTGTGCTTAGGTGTAGAAGGGGCCATCCGTACTAGCTGTCACAGGACACAGCACATTTTGCTCCATCATTACCTATGCATGCTTGGGCCATCTGATGATTATAGATCGCTGAAATATAGAAAATCAGTGGCGATCGTTCAGAGCTGTGTATGATGTTTCTGGGACTCTGAAAAACAATAAATAAATGCTATGTTTTTTTTTTGCCACTTCCACTTGCGCCTGCCTTACGTATCTCTTGAATTTCTAGCTCACCAGGTTAGCAAATTGGCATTCGGATTTGCAGCGCTTGTCAAGTGATCTCAAGCACGCTGCGAATGCCAATGTGAACTTAGTCATTGCTAGGACTGTGGGGTGGTTCAACGTTCTGCTTTTATTGATATAGCAGGGCTTATGTGCACTTGCACGATTTAACTGATGTTTGTTGAATGGCTTGTACATCTTGACATGATAGCATTAAGGAGCCATTTCACAGAAATTCCGGTGTTGTTGGTTGTGAGTGACAATCGTCTTGTTCATGACTGAAAAATCTAAAAAGATGCAAATAAAATTAATAATAAAAATTTCTGGGTCCGAGTGTGGGTCGAGCCCCGGGGCAAGCTGCTGTTCCACAGAGCTACGAGATCTGTTGAAAAGTTCTTTGCTAAGAAACACCATATAAATGCCATGTAGTGGAAAGGGTCTCCTTAGTTCAACACATGTTGTGTGGCAGAAACATAGAATCGCGCAAGCCGTCAAAAGATGAAAATTAAGTGGTGAGTGGCCCACCCATTACTAAGTGTTCAGACATATTTAATTATTATCACCAGCAAAACCATCAACAAAGTGAACAGCTGCGTAGGTTTGAGTGTTGCCTAACGGACATGCAGTGGGCCCTACGCTGATTCGTAAAATGAATAGCTATGGCGTAGTAGGCACTTGACAGCTGTGCTTGCAGTAGGCATTCAGTGATGCTTTGAAACAGTTTGTTGCATGCACAGTCGTTCATCGTTCATTTCCTTGTGGCACGGTTGAGGCATTCACCGAGAACCGAAGCAGGTTAGTGGTTCAAAAGGCAGATGTGCACAAGGCTCGATTATGCTATCGCAACCCATTCAAAGGCGAAACTCGAGAGTAGGTTGCGATATTTTTTTTTTCTTTACTAAAAGCAAGCCTTCTTTGTTACACTGCTCCAAATTTGGGATTTCATGCAAAAAAAATTCCACTACTTCAATCTGGAATTTTCTGCTCCAAAGGCAGCGTTTTGCGGCTCCCAAAATTGCTACAAATCCTATTTTGGTTGTTGCACCCCTCGCATTTGAATACTTGGTGGTAATTTCAGCAATGAACTAATGTAGGAAGTTGTTTCTCCAAATCCTTTATATCGTCTGTGCCGAGTGCTAAGGGAGAAATAGTGTGCACTCCCATTTCAAGGGGACTTAAAGTGCAATTCGCAATTAGTAGATTAACATTTGAAAACAACATCTGTGTCACTAACACCAGAAGCGTAATTTACTCAAAGAAACATAAAAATGGCACAAGCATTAAAGGAGCATTGCACAAACGTTTTGCAAATGCAGGACAATGAGGCCCCACTTGCATGCCTTGACTACAACTTGTAAAGGTTTGTCAACAGTCGTTAATAAAAGCCCATTGGCTTGTGCAACTTGACAGTGTAAAATAACACTGCAGGTACGAGAGGCACAAGATTTAGCTGGTCAATGACATTCTCATACTCTGAGTATACAAAAAGTTATTTCGCGTTTCCTCCATATTGAAATTGCGGTTGCTACAACCGATGATAGAATCTGGGACCATTGGCTCAGAAACAGCTCAGTGTGCCGTCATGGTACGAGTCGTAGAATTGAATGCATGTTACACATGCGAACAAAAGTACTGATAATGCAACTTTTAACAAATAAAAACCCTGCAAGTCCTCTGATGTAGTACCTTCCAGCTTATCTGTCAGTAAGAACTTTGTGCCTCCTATGTATCAATTTAATACCGCAGATAGCAGCAAAGCATAGATGCCTCAGGACAGCTGGTGGTCCTGCCAGAATACCGAAACCGTCATGAGGCATTCATTGCATGGCTCAGTTCGTTGAGGGGCAGTTTTGATCAAGGTGTCATTTGAGAAGTCGCTTGCCACTGTGTAAATTTTGCGGTTTCATTGATACAGAACTGTAACATGATTGTTACTAGGTCATTGAGAGTTCCGAGTATTTGCTTTTGCATCACTTGGCAAAAACATATCTGACAAGGCTTCTATTGTTGAATGCAAGCAAGAACTGTATGCGTTCTTATTATGATAGATAATTATCTCCATGTTCTTTTTTCAACTGCGTGCAGGTTTTATTTTTAAATTTTTTAACATCTTCTCATGTACCTCCTGGACTATTTATGCGATGTTACTGTCGATTCTGTCTGAAAATACAGTAATGGCACAGCTGCCTCTAATGATGTTTATAATTGCATCTGGCTATTTTATTTTTCCCATAAAAGGTGGCCAAGAAATGGCCTCTTCATTGGGGCTTTGTGTACTGTTCGCTGCAGTATGGGACCAGATATATTATCAACGGTTTGAAAGGACAACTGGTTGATTTGGTAGGTGGACTCTGCTAACCACAATTTGAGCCGAGACGAAGTCGAGGTGGAAAAGGTTCTTGAGGTGTAGGTAAAGTACTGCTCAGGTTTTGGTGAAAGGGCAAAGAAAACGCTTGTGCAATAGCCTTGTAATGATAAGGCAGCAGTAGGGCAGTGCTAATCTTCAAAGTGACTGCAGTCATCTTGTCTTCATTGTTGCGTGCAGGTATTGTGCCGCAACATGGATAAACGAACTAGCGTTGTCAAGTTATCGTAAAATCTTCAGCAATGCAGCGAGCATTGAGGCAGGCAACACGATTACTGCTGCCAGTGCTATCGGTACTGTGCAAACAGTACTAGCCTAGTGTGGACTACTGCATTTGTACATTGGAGGTGATCTAAAGTAGCACCTGCCCAGCATTTGTAAATATTTTGCAGATTGAATTCTATATAGATATGGGGCATCCCCTGCTTTTCTTAAAGTGTTACTACGAACATTCCCCACATATTTCTTGCCCAGTTGGCACTTTGGCAACACGAGGTTATTTTAGTGCAATATCGCCCCAAGTTCTCAGCCAGTGCTTGACTGGAATGACACTATTGTCGACTACAACGTAAAAAGTCCCGAGTCCAGGCTTGGGTAACCAAAGAGCAGCAGACCCGCTTATACACTTGGCAGCATTACTTGAAGGTGGGGTTGCCGGCGATCAAGCTCGTGGCACAAGTCTGGTGTGTGTGTGTGTTCACTGGTGCAGACTTGTGTGCCTTTGAGGAAGAAATGCTGCAGACTTCTAAAGTTGTAGTTGACTGTAGAAACAATGCTGAAAGTCGCGAGATTGTAGATGATTTAGTATGCGCTATTTGTAGCATCCCGGCAGCTGTGAAAGGGGTTCTACAGTTCTGGATGCATATTTCTACAAAGGCAAACTAAAGGCAAATGTTAATGTCAATACAAGATTGCTGATCTTTTGCTAACATGCTTGCCATCATTGCCAAGATCACAGGCCCTGGAGCAAAGTCTATGTTTGCATAATTACAAACTACGCGTCACAAAAATCGCTTGCCTGATTATACCCAAAAAATAACGAGCTGTCTATGGCTTAAATGATGTGTTTGCCAAGCAATTTGCTGTGGTATAATCATTTCAACAAGGCCCAATCATGCCTTAAGCGATTCCCATGTAGATTGATGTGGTGTAGCACATGCAGAGTTTGCGACATTGTTATATTTTGTAAAATTTAAAAGTGCATGTAAAAAAAAGTGGATGCGTTGATTAGAGCAGGAAAATAAAAAGTGAGAAGGGGCATGTACATTTTTTCTGTCTTGTACCCTACTAAAGATGCCTGCTTTGTACAGATGCTAAAAGTTGTGTTCTGTAAATCCAGCTGATCAGGGACTTCATGTTGCACCGTATTTAGTGGCAGCACAGTGCAATTCATTCACAGCACTTCCTGGAGGTTTCAAAAAAAAAATTCTCAATTATGCTGTTTCATTCAGTTTTTGTCTTGGATGGCATGTTTAGACTTTATGTTAACCGTGCTGATGTTTTTATATGTGTACAATTCTATGTGCTGTTTTAATAAATGACATTTTCGCACGAGTGCATTTGGCACTGTGCAAAATTTGAAGTGTTGGGTCAAGTACCTGGAGGTCCCTTTAAAATTATGACTTGCAGTTATAGCCTCGAAGTACTCGTTAGCGAACACTGAACAGCGAGATGACTGTCTTCAACACAGTAGGTAACAATGCCTCAACGCGCATGTGCAGTGAGCGCCAGCATTATTTATTGTTTGTACAATAGCCATGCTAGATGGGTTGAAAGAAGTAAAATAGGCTTTTGTCACATTATTTTGCAAGATACAAGGTCTGCACTACAAATGGTTAAACAAAACAATGACATCTTTATTTCAAACACCAGGTAGCAAGCCCAAATGCAACCAGCACAGCGCAAGATAAAAATCAGTAGGTACGTTGCGTCTTCTCTCTCCTCGGTCCTGCATTTTTTTTTATGACACGAACGTCTATGAAGTGTTGGGTATAAGGGTGTGTTACACATAGTGGCAGAACAGTCTTTTTAACTCTCGAGAAAAGAGATTACATTGTTTGCAGTGGCCTTAAACTATGGTAACAAACTAGAAAACTACAATGTGAGAGGTTTGGGTTTCTTTAGACGCATGGCTAACGGAAACAGTGCTTTGCTGATGAGCACAGGCAAAAGTCTACAATCGCTGACTGGTACTGTACGACTGTCTTGCCTTTTCCTTTGTCTTTTTGTAAGTTGACCTTTAAAATTTTTGATACATAGCAGGCGTTGCTAGGAAAGCTATGGAGAGTGCTGTCGCAGTTCAAGTTCGCAACCATAGAATAGGGAACATGTGAAATAGACATGGGCATGCATCATGTACTATGATGGGACATTAATATTGTACTTAGATTGTGTAGCATTGCCTGCAATGAATGAAATGTACTATATCGAGTTGACAGAGGTATTCATTTTGTTACATTTCTACACAATTTTTTTCTCCTCTCTTCTTCGGTGTGACAAGCCACACCACGCAGTGCATACAACAATGAACAGTGTTGAATATAAAGAATGCAGGCAGAAATGCATCCTGCTTACTGGCTCTATAGTACCCACAATATACGGGCCTTACTGTAAGCTCTCATCCCGAAACCTAGGTGAATAGAAAATCCATATTCTTCCTAAATTTTTAGGTTTACTCTCTCCCATTCATTCAATCTGGTACGCGTAACCTATTTCCGCAGACACTGCCACATTGTTAAAACTTAAAGGCAAATAAATATAGAACCAACCACAGTCAAACTAGTAAAAGGTATTACAATTTTTACTCATCAGTTGAAGGAACAGATTGGTGCATTAGTCTGTAATACACAACTAGTGGTATTTTGCTATACTTCAACTTAATTTTCCTGCTCTCTTATTAGCAGTATACTACATCGGACAAATTTCATAAAAATCGCACACAACTTTTTCATTTTCTGTTTTTTTTTTGTGGCTTGATTACATTGGTCAATATTTCCTATTTAATCGACTTGGGTAACTTTATAACACATAAAATAAGCAGTATGAAAATGAACAAAAGTCTTTGAAGGTATGAATCATTTCATATTGTAATCACAGAGGCATTTCATTCGTTACAGCTGTAATTAAACCTCGAGCTGTCCTATAAAGTTTATGTACATGAGAAGCCCTGCGAACATATCCAAGACATTTACATTTAACTCTTCGATGCAAGCAATGATAAAACATCACACGTGACAACCAGCGCATAGCACTCGCGTTATCGACCGTTGCATGACAAGTGCATTGTACTTTTAACGCATCTACCAAGAGACCTTGAGTTTCCATGTTACGCAAGGACGAACAATTGGCATTTTCACCCTGTCTAACCAAAATGCACAACATTGATATAAAGAAAAAAAACAATTGTGGAGGATACACAGTGGTCACACGCTTTTTTTTTTCACGCAATGTATGAAAGAGTACAGTTCTAAAAAAAATATTTACAGACACCGTCTAATTTGTAGAACAATCCATGACGGCCCTTTGCTTGTTCACAGAGTTCTGGAATGGAGAGAAATAAAATTGTGAAGAAAATAAAAAGCACTGACAACTTGCCGCGAACCCAACGCTGCATATTTTAGTAAATTTAGTTCCCATTGCCAAAATACAAAAAAAAATATTTTTTTGCAACGTTCCTGCAATCACACTTGAACTCAATTGATAAAATCTCAAGCCAAATTCAACTGTCAAACTTCCATTTTCTCTTGCAGTAACAAGCCTATCTTGGCAGAAGGGTTAGTAACAATGTTTTGTTCAGAGCATTAAAAATTGGGCTTTGCTATGGTACCAAAGCCAAACCTATGTGCTTGCTCACTTACTTGTTCTTGTGCTGCTGAGAGAACTTGCGTGCAAGTACCGACAGCTTGGCGACGTTGAGGGGCCAGTTGGAAATGTGGCGAAGGCCCTGGGGCGAGGGTGCGGCCGGTGCTGGCGGAGGCGGTGCAATCCAGTCGCTGGCGCCCACGGCCGAGCTGTAGTGCTTGCTCGACGTCTTGTTGAACACGGGCAGCATTTCATTAGCCTCATTGCTCAGTGCCTGCAACAAGAACGTTTCACAGTGGCAAGCTTTGAAATTGGTACTTGAAGAATAGTTGTACTAGTACTATATATTATAAAAAAAAAATACCCGAGTTTCACGATTCGTGTTTGGGTACGGTGCGAGAATGGCGAAGATGGAATGGAAAAGGAGGGACTCTACCGTTGTCATTCTCGCGCTGTACTCAAACACACGACTGCACCAACTGGCCCAGCCTTCAATACTTTTCATTGATTCAGTTTATAGTGCCATCTGTTTTCAGCACCACTACTACAGTTGAGCCTTTTCTGTTTAGAAGAGATTCCATGCAATCTTCAATATCATATGCAATATTTCTTAAATTTGATTGTTCTTAAATTTGAGACCAGGGGTTTCAAACAGGTGGCTCGTGGACCTTTCGCTAGAGGCCCTGATCGCACATACTGGTCTTTGCCCCCTTTTTTCTTTACTTTTTTAAAAGTATATTAATGAGCTACAAAAACACGACCGGTTAGGGTAGTCTCAGACATTTTTTTTACCGTGAGACATCTGATCCAGTCACCACCTTTTGAAACAACCCTACAACGTTCATTGGAAATTTGTTCAAACTTCACCCCACAATCTCCTTCACTTTGCCGACCCTTGCAGGAGACTAAATTTAGTGACTGTGGCCCACCACTTGAGGTGAGTTTGAAATTAATGATTTAGATACAATGGGTTGATATTACCAACAATTATGACCTGCTAAACCTGATTTACTTGTACCTAAGAGACACTGTGCTCTGTTTTTTAGACTGATATTTAATTAAGAAGTCATTATAGGAAAATAATCAGTCAAGAAAAACAGGCAAATTAAAATTCAGTGATTAACAAACATAATACATGTTTACATAATACATACATAACATAAATACATATGTGCTAGGCTTTGTGTACTGCTGTAATGAAAAATAAGAAACAATAATTTCACACCAGCAGTTTTTGTTTAAAGGTTTAGCAATAACAATATGTTCCTACTTTTGTAGACTTCCCACAAAGACTGATAAAAAATATGCCATAAATTTTTCAACAATGATGCTTACATCACTGCAGTATGTGCACAGGGTAAATAGTTGAAGTCCAGCGTTTGATTTTCTCTAAAAAATAAACCTTTCATCAAGTAAAGGCAAGGCTGCGTATAAAGGTCATGCATCACTCAACAAATTTCAAGATACCTTGTTAATGCCAGCTTAATGGTCAAAGCTGGCAATCTTGTTAATGCTGCTTTTTCAGTTTTCTGAACAGCCTTTGAACAGCAGCTAAGCAGACTAAATTTGAGTGCAACTCGAAACTTCTCTACACCATCTACCCACAATTAAAACAGAATATGCAAGCTTCAGCTGCTGCATTGATTAGGCTATGTACACACTTTATATTTGAAAGGCCATTTACCTTAAGGTAAATGAGGGCATCAGTTCCATAACCTTCACAGGATGTTAGGATCAGGTCCCCACGAAAGTAGCGGGCATATAGCCGAGACAGGGGCAAGCCATAGCCGTAGCCAGCCTGAAATTGCACAAATGCAAAAAATAAGTTGTCACAAAGTATGAAAAATACTGTAAATGTTGTATTACCATGGGTAAAGGCTACATTAACAAGTTTGCTCGTAACCAGAAGTCTGACGAGCCAATTTATTCTCATCAAGTCATCTTTGTTTACTTTTGAAAAGAAAAAAAAAAAGACAAAAACTATGACCACTGTGAGATGGATAGTGCCATGTTTCACATGTCAACAGGGAAATACTTCATGTGTTCTGAAGCTTTTGATTTATTTATAAGTAGCTGGAAGCGATCCCCAAGAACTCCACAAGTTTGAGGAAGAAAAATGATAGGCTACAAGTAAATACAATGCTGAAGTGAGCATCTCTTCCCTAGCATGCACCTGGGAACACTATTCCGGCTTCAAGATTATGGGACTCAAGTTAGATATTCTCTACTTGGCGAGAAAGTATACCATGCGTCAAACATACAAAAGCTGTGTAAACTATGCATTAAATACAACAATTTTTACCAGAGGTGCAGAGTTGAGTCCTGAAGCCGAGGGTTGAGGAGCTGTGGAGTACATGTACTGAAACAGCATCTCTGTGCATGACCGTGGGATGCCTCCGCCTTTGTCGGACAGCTGGAAATATATAATGGAAGCAAACTGTCAAGCAGTGCAGCTGAAGTTGTGGATTCTGAAGGGACACTAAAGAGACAAGCAATTTTTCTCATTAATGAATAACTCATCCACAATTCCAAAATCACCATGCCTGCTGCGAGAAGACGCTTGGTAAGCAAGAAAACATGCGAAAAGAAACTGCGAGTGGTGACACCATCCTGAAATTAGTGCACCAATCACCGTGGTGCCAGATTTTGACAGCATCTACTAGGTCCTACAGAGTTTCTAATTATTAAAAACGAAGTACATCGTCCTTAGAATGTTGTTGGAATCCTGGCGCCCAGTCGCATTTGGAAATGACCGATATACAGTAGAGTCTAGAAAACTGCAATCTGTTAAACGGGACACATTTTACTGGTCCCTTCAGGTTCTGTTTAAACGAGAGTCTACTGTATAAGATACTAGAGACGCCTTCCATACGGTGACGTTAGCTTCCATATTGGGAGATTTTTGAAACTCCAACCAAAAGTTTTTGAAGAAACTCGACGTTTCGGAACCGACTTGGTTCCCTCCTCAGGGGAGACTGCAGGACTACGTAGCAGCGGCATCTTCAAAGCACTAGCGGGGGGATAACGACCCCCCCTCTCTCTGTCTCTCATTTTGCCGTGGAACGCAGTCTATGTGTATAAACTGGGGGAAGGGCTCCGAGAGAGCGGTTGATGTTTTGGGCTGTCCGCTGTATATGTCACGACTCGAGTAGTAACCTTCTCCTCCAGTTCGCTTTGCTTTCAAGGATGGTTGTTGCTTCGAAATTTCTCCGGGTGGTGTAATGTCTCAGCATGCTCGGCGAGTGCGCTGCGCTCTTTGCAGAGCTTCCGCACATCATCGGCATGTTGCTTGAGTTGTTCCGGTAAGTTTTTCGTCTCGCCGATATACGAAGAAGGCACTCGGCGCACGGGATTTCGTAAACGACACCGGGGGTCCTGTCCATTGTTGGCCGGTTTTTCGGTTGGGAGAGGAGGAGGTCCAGCGTACACGACGTCACGTGTGCGATGCAAACCCCTTCCTTCTTGAAGATCTGCGCCAACCTCTCGCTGGTTCCCTAACGTATGGGACTGGTTCACGTTTCGGAGGGCTGCCAATTAATGCTAATTGGCATTTCGTATCCTCTGTTGCTCTACGCGGCGAGTGGCGGCTCGAATTAAGTTTTTGGGTATCCGTTTTTTGTGAGGTCCGCAATTAAGCGGGCCTCTTCTTTCTTTCGCTCCATGTCATTGGAGCATAAGTTCTTAGCTCTCTGGAGTAGCGTGGTCACAACTGAGGCCTTGTGACAGGCGGGGTGGAAAGAATCAAACCGGCCGCTACCTTCAATTTGATTCTTTCATCTATGCTCGTGCTTCTCTCATACAAACTTTAAGGAACGCTCTACTTTCATAAATAGTACCAGCTCTGACAGAGCAAACCTACAAACACAGCCCCTAGCATTCTCAAATGCAAACGTGTGAAACAAACCTTAATGGTCAGGTCTTCTCGTCCACGAGCAATGAGCACGTTCAGTGGGGGCAAGTCGTTGGATTCGGTGTCGGCCCCATGGTACTCTACGACTGCTCTCATGGAGTTCTGTTTACGAGAAAACAAAAATCGAGCCTCACATCAGTTGCACAGATGTGAGCAGAGTTACATAACACTTCAAAAGTTTTATATTTTACCTTTTTTTTTTTTGAGGATGTGTTCCTTGTTCAGTGTCAAACCTTATGTACCAAACATGAATACAACAAATCATTGGAAATAACGAGGCAAGCCTAAGCTTAGGTTTTGCTAACATGAGTACTGCATTACATACATACTTATAATAGATATAGGATATCAAGATGCATTCTTATGCACGATATGTGATGACTAAGGTTCATCTGCTGAAAACTTCAAAAATAACCTGTGTTCTGTCGTGAGTGAAGATTGTGTGTGTGTGTAAACTGGTGATTAACTACTTTTGAAATATACTTGCTACACAATTCGGTATAAGAGCCAATGCAAAGACAATGTTATGTTCAAGATGCTCACCTTGAAAAGCTCGAACAGCATGTGATACAAGTGTGATGGTACGTAGTCTATACAGATGGCAGCATTCGGAGCTATCACTGGAAAAGAAAGAGAGCACAAAAATAAAGACGTACTCAAAGAAAGAAAAAAAAAGGTGCCGCAATGCCAGTGCTAAAAACTTTAGCGGGCAGAATGAAAAATAATGGTAAACAGATAAAAGGCTAAAGTGGGGCACCCACCATCGCATTGTTCAACTCTGAGGCCAGGAGATGTGAGATAATACTGGTCACATAGGAACTTTGCATTTTCGTAAGCATCTGAAAATTTGCGAAATAACACTTAGTTTGAGCACAGTAAAGAAAATTGTCTATTGTAGTTATAGTGGCAGCGGCCAACGGTACAGCTTCAACATTTTATGGAAGAAATCATGCAACATAAACAAACAAAAAATTAACATTATAGCTATCCCAGTTTTATAAGTACTATACAAGTTCATGCTCACATTTTTTTTTCTGAATTATTAACCGTAAGAAAGCTCGGTTTATAGGCAAGCCAACTTATAAAAGTAATGATCGTATGCAATCAAATATCGTTATCATGTTGCATCAAAACAAAAAATGTATACATAATATGTACCTGTACACTCCATGCTATATTCGTGAAAGAAAGTGCAAATGTAAGGGCCTTTTTTCTTTGTTAGGCACAATATTAAGGTGAACAAACAGACAATAATGCCAGCAATTTCTGCCATTATTGCCGATTAGTTCTGCTTAAACCAATGTTCATGATACATACCGTAATTACTCGAATCTAACGCGCACCTTTTTTTCGGTTAAGCGAGTTCATAAATCGCATGCGCGTTAGAATCGAGTACGAACAAAAAAATTACGTTCAATCTATTGCCATCGACAAATCCAAAATGGCCGCCCCCTACGTGCGTCGGCATGGCGCGTCCGCCGTTTCTGCCTATGTGTTTCCCATGTGCGGCACTTCGTACGTGTGCTGAGGAGTTCGTCATCTAGTAGTGCATTAGCATCGACGGCGTGGAAGGGCCGAACTCCAAAAACTCGAGTGCACCACGATGCCGCTTTTAAAAGAAAAGTCATCGCGTGTGCAGAAACGGACGGAAATCGGGCCGCATCGCAGGACGTTCGGAGTTCCCGAAACGTGCCTGTGGGACCGGCGGAAACAAAAGCAGAAGATTGTCGACAGCAAAGCTTCACGCAAAGGCTTCAGTGGACCACAGCAGGGTCGGTTTCCGCAAATTAAAGAGCTGCTCGGCGAGTATGTGCTTGAGCAGCGAGCGGCACAGCGGCCCGTGACGACAGAACTGCTCCAAGTGCGGGCTATGCAATTAGTCTTAGAAAAAGGTATAATGCGGAGCCAGTTTTAAGCGAGCAGGTGCTGGCTAACTAACTTTATGAAGAGGAAAGGCTTTTCCCTCCGAAGAGGAACATGCATATGTGAAAAGTTTTGCGGAGGAAGTACGATGAAAAGCTTCACAGTTTTCTGAGGTTCGTCCTAAACTTGCGGCGCAACAACGGCTACCTGCTTGGGCAAATCGAGAATGCCGATCAGACGCCTCTTTACTTCGACAAGCCTGGCACCACAACCGTCGAGAAGAAGGGGGCGAAGCAAGTTTGCGTGCTGACATCGGTCCACGGTAAAACTACAGTGACGGCAATGCTCTGTTACACGTCAGATGGGCACAAGCTTCGCCCGTACCTTATATTTGAATGGAAGACGCTCCCGAAAGGAGTAGTTTTTTCGAGTGATGTGATCGTGTGGGCCAGCGAGAAAAATGGGTGCGCGTTGCAATCAATGTCTTACTTTTTTTTTTTTTTCGCGGTGGAAATCAGGTGCGCGTTACAATCGAGGACGCGGTAGAATCGAGTAAATACGGGTAATTGAAATTTGTAACACGGTCCGACGCATCGGTGTAGCGGTTACAGTGCACGGCTGCTGACCCAAATGTTCCGGGTTCGGGGAAGATCAAATGCAGAGGCCCATGTACTGTATGACATCAGTACACGTTAATGAACACCACTGTGGGTGAAATTTGTGGAGCCCCCCTCTAAAACGTCCCTTATAATCGTGCCACGATATTGGCACATCTGTGTCATTTCACACAAGTCCACCAATCACCTTTATCGCACTTAAGCTATATGTCATTCCTGCTGCATCAATAAACAGCAGGCAAAGGTTGTCCTACACAATTACAAATTTGTGCGCAATCAGCAATATTTACCTTCAACTATACTCGCAACGTGGCAGTTACGGTCGATGGAACCAATGTGACGAGGATGGGTATTGTTCTCGTTTCCAAACAAGGAAGCTAGAGGAAGAAAGTATGATCCACAGGTATAAATACTATGTAATTATACGGTCAGTAAAATGAATGCACAGACACAATTCCACAGAAAAAAAAACGTATCGACAAATCGGCAGCTACAATAAATGCACGTGGCTCCATGCCACTGTTCCTTTTTTCGCACTGTATATGCACCTCCCGAGAGCATGACACTGAAGAAGGGCAGACCCAGAGAATTAGCTCTTGTCCCTAATAAAGTAATTAAAATATTAATGACAGCCGAAGTTAGCAATTAAATGAAGGTGCAGAAACTACCAAATAAACTTGGCAAGAAAGGAGCACACCAAGTACTATTCATCTGGAACTTTGCCTCTAATTACAGTTTTACTGTGTGCTGATCATCTGCCAGTTGCTATATATACAGCTCGAGCTTTCCTCAGCTGTCTGGATTTAAGATCACTAGGGTCCCATTTTAGAACCCTGTCAAGTAATGAGAAGCAGCCACACTACACTGGCAAGGTTAATTGATGATAGACAAATTGCTTTGAAGATTACCACAAATGTGAACCAATTTGGCAGCAATTCTATACAGATGAGTACAATTTTGCCAGATGCAATATTCTCACCTGTATCCATCAACTCTGAACTACTTAATAATAATGAAAATAGACAGCAATTATCTTACTTATTACCCCGCACCTTGTTACAGTAAGATACTAATGCATGCCAACTGTGTAAAGCTACACATACATACACATTCAAGAGCTTCATAAAACATAAATAAGTTTTTCCTGGAAAAACATTTCCCATCACTCGGAGTAGTTTCTATGTCTACTAATTGTAGATCAATGCTAGGTGATTACTGTTGCTGAGTGCATACTGTGCATATCATATGAAAAATTGCCAGAAGGCCTTACTGTGTTGGTTTATGAGCATTCTGATAGAAATCCTGTTCATGTAGAAGCGGTCCAAAAAGTACTGTATGCTGTGCTCCGTCTTTGGATCTGGTTCGTGCGACTCCTTCAGCTCAATGACTCCTTGGGCCATGGTCTGAACGACGTTCGAGTGGCGGTTCCTGATCTTGATCAGCGCCTCGCAAAACCTTAAATGAGACGCGCGAAGAAACAAGTGTTTCCCCTTCGAAACGTGCACATAAATTAGCAGTGACGCACAGAGGTAAAACAAAGCACTGAAAGAAAATTCTAAAACAAAAGACAGCACATTTGCGAGTCTCATGCTTCATTCATTGTGTCGCTGTGGTGTGGATGCACTTCTGTGCAGACATGATGTACTAAAAATAAAAGTTTATCCATTCCCTCTATGTGTCACAGGTAATATCAAAAAACATAAGAAGAGTGAGTGACATTTTAGAGATTATGCTATCTGCAGAATCCCCATTAAGCAAGCTCTCCTCAATTGCTAACAAGCCCTGTTGGAAAAGAAGAGGAATAAACGTGTGCAGGCTAGTACTACAAAAGAAGAAGTTGAAAGCAAGAAACGGCGTTCGGTCTGGTTTCTTCGCGGTTCAATAGTTTCCTTTACAAGCCCTTTATAAAGGGGGGGGGGGGGGGGGGGGGGGGGAGGGCAGCTCAGTCTATCGAACTTGTTTCAGAGCTAAATGTTGGAATGACAGAATTCCCACATTGTGCATCTTAACGTAGGATTTCTACATCAAAAAGAAGCAAAAATGCCATTAAATGCATCAAAATATTCGTGCTGCACTGAGAGTATGAACAGCCTTCTTAATGATTTGTTTTGCAGAAGCACAGTTAGGTAAACATTTGCCATCACTAGGTGATACTGCAGTAACCTCATGCAATCTGTGGAGCGTAATTTTGCAGCAACTTACTTTGTCATGGCTTTTTGATCGTCGCTCCCAGCATTCTCAAATTCAAGTATTTCTTCAAAACTCCGTTCATACCTGTAGAGAACAATGCCAGTGACACAATAAATGCCGCACATGCAGTCCAACAAAATGCCTGAGTCCATTGTAATAGTACACTCGCACTAAGAGCATTGTTTGGTGCTTTCGTGCAATGTATAAAAATGTTACTCAGTGATGTACAAATGTATAGTAGCGAAGTGTATCCTTATTATACAGCACGATGAAATGATGAAATGGCCCATTTCACAAATGCAGTAAAAGAGCAAGGAACAGAGCTCATTATATTGTGCTACAAAAACAGTGGCCATCTTTTTTTGATAACATTCTACTAAATTTTCTGTTTCTTTTTTATCATGCTGAGTCGCTGACCCTCGAGATAACAACTGTGCAGTGGTACCTGAGACAAAGACGGAGGGCGAGAAAAGTAGAATGAAAAGTAAAACAATTTATCAGAAAATAGGACCTTGGCTGAACACAGCACTACAAAATGAAAAAGAAACTTCTCCGCAATGTAGATATTTTTTAATGTTTTGGAAGTTCAGCACTGCTGAGCTACCGCTGCGTGGGCTGCGAGATGAGGCTGCCATCTATTGTAAGTTCATTATGTAATGACAATTTGTTTGGAAAGAGAAAAGGGCCTTTCAAGCAGAAAGACAACCTTCCAATCTTGAATAAGAAAAGTAATAGTAAAGGACCATACAGCGAATTAATCTGGCTGATATAAACAGTTGGGACAAGTGAGGACATGAAGAATTGTAAGCAGCACATTGTCTATACAAAAATAGCATATAGTATAGTACTACTTTATCATACGCATGGCCAATGGCTGGTGCTTAGCAGTGTCGTTACTCACCGCCACATGAGTTTGTATTCTTCTGTCCCAACATTACGCAATCAATAACAACTCCATACTTGCATTCACCTGGCACATGTATTTTGAATGGCAAACACAAGTTTGGTATTATAGCTTTGGCAAATGAATGACAGCAAGATCGGACACACAATTTTTACTCGCCTTAATACAGAATGTCCGTGCTGCCTACTTGTGCTTTTGAATGAAAGCATTCAAAGGAGTGAAGCAAAAAACAAACAACTATCTTTCAGGATAACATCAGTATGCTGTACCACTTACCAGCTTCTGACAAGTTCCACAGAAGGCATGCTCAGCAAATTTTCTGGCAGTAGGTGGATCTCCTTCATTATGTTGGCCAACCGCACTGGCAGTTCTTTGCGCAAGAAGAGAAATGACGTCTTTTCGCAAGCATTTTCACCTGTGAAAAGAAAAAAGAGCCATATAATCAAATAGTGTAACTTTGGTTGAGTTGCCGAGCTTGTACGAGAGCCAGTCTTAGTAGAACTTTGTAGAGAGCCAGCCTTGCATCACTTGCCAGAGCACACAGGTTGACGAAGCAAAGGCTCAAAAGGATTTGCAGCACACATAATTCATCACAAATTCAAAGTCCGGTACACGCTGCTTAATTTGACCTGTGGGCCGTTTCCTTAGCTTGATGCGCAACTGTAAAGCTGCTATGTCTATTAGTCTGAAAGCAAGTCAACTACAACGTATATCTATGATGACTCAGCAAACATTTTGCTGTTTTACAACTACAATGTAAACAAAACAAAAGTAGTTGCTCCTAGGCACTACTCAACTCTATTACAATCACAATTAAAAATTATTGTTCCCATATTATCATAATATGAATAATACTAAGACTTCAGGGCAAGATTACACTTTCAGTAATTGTCAAAGGGGTCCTGAACCACTTCTTCACGTAATCATCAATCTAATGACCTCAGTATTGGCAATTGCTGCCTCACGAGTCTATCACCACAAACATTTCTCAAGTCCATCAAGAAAGAGCAAGGCTACAAGGACTCATTGCACGCTTTAAGCACTTTCGCTCTTCATTTGTCCCAAAAAGTGGACTGGAAGCTACAAAGGTAGAAATTACAGGGGGAAAAGAAGCTGTGTCAGTGCACATTGTGACCTTGAGCACACACCCATAAAACGTAATCATTCTCTTCCCCTGCAATTCCTGTGCATGCTGCGTAACTGTGTAGTTTTAGCACACTACAGAGCCTGAAGCAGGCATGTGGGGACACACACTGACAAAATGTGCGTAGTATCCAAATGCCACTCCCGATTTATGTCAGCTATCAGTCTCTGCCATTGGGTGACGCACAAATAGATGGCGCCCCACCCACTGAAGTGAGTGAGGACGGTGCCTCTGTGATGATGGAGAAAGGGCGTGTGAGAAAGTGGCAACCTCGCATTCCACTTGTAAAGTATACATGCCTCACACAACTACAAACATTGAATGAACTGTTCATAGCAGTGCATTTTATTGATAGAATATTTGTTTTGACCAAGCCTGTGGGGCAGTTCAGGATCCATTTAAATGATCTGCATACACCTGTATAAAGTATACCCAACAAATACTGAATTATCTCACTGGCTTATTTGAAAAGGGTGCAACATGTTTTTTACATAATTTTGTATATGATAGTAGCAAGCTTTTTTTGTTTATTTAATGATTCCAAAATACCTTGTTGGAACTGCCCTCAGTGTCAATGGTATGAACTATTGAATTTCTATTTTCATGGGAAATATGAATAGAAGAAGAGCAGGATTGAATTAAGCACGTTCTATCTGGACTGTGGCATGTTTGTACGAAGGCTAACGTCATGGCCTTGGCAGCGCATTTTCGGGAGGCCACGCCTATTTACCAGAGCCCAGAGGCTGGTTCCAGCACTGGCCTAGCCCGAGGGAGGGCGTTCACACCCTCTTACCAGTAATTGTTCAGTTTCGCATATTTATATATCCACACACACATACAAATACAAACTCACGCGCGAATATTTATGAAGTATAGTTGAACGCCCCTCGCTCCCCCCCACTCTCTCTCTTTCTCTCTCTCCGAAAAAATTTCTGCCTACGCTGCTAGTGCTCAGACAGCCTTATGTGAAAAGGTGTATATGCCACATTCCTGCCCAGCTACACAGAAAGTACCCAACGAGATATAGCTCTATGTGCCCCCTCTGCGGCGTAACGGACACCCTGGCACACTTGCTTCTTGCACGCCAGTGTATTGCCAGACGTAATCTGCAACAACACACGACTGAAAATGAAGCAGGACGGACGAATGAAGACCTAACCGAAACGTGGGAGGTGAAGCTCGCCCTCGAGGACCTGGAAGACTAACAACAACTCGTCGCCAGGGCCAAGAGGGCAGTAGAAGCCAGAGGGTCCCTGGACTAAGGAGCCCTCCCACCTTAGGGTGGACACCGGGCATTGCTCGGGCACTATTTGGAAAATAAACGTTTAATTCTCTCTCCCTCTCTGAAGCATACTGTATGGACAAAAGTATACGAGCGCATTTGATCAGCGATGATTGATTGATGATTGATTGATATGTGAGGTTTAACGTCCCAAAACCACCATATGATTATGAGAGACGCCGTAGTGGAGGGCTCCGGAAATTTAGACCACCTGGGGTTCTTTAACGTGCACCCAAATCGGAGTACATGGGCCTACATTTCCGCCTCCATCGGAAATGCAGCCGCCACAGCCGGGATTTGATCCTGCGACCTGCGGGTCAGCACGAGTACCTTAGCCACTAGACCACCGTGGCGGGGCCGCATTTGATCAGCGAGTGCACGCAGTTACAACGCGCCTGTGTATCGGTTCAAATCTCGCGGCGATGCAGCTTCAGACAGGGAAAGTGTTGTAAATGACAGCGCGCCTAATCGGTCCGGGACGCCGTCTGCGCCTTCCGAGGCCATGGCGGGGACGTTTCGCCTGACTGACGATCCAGCGCTCGACAACGCGGAAACCGGAGCCCTCGAGCACGTACACGCGCGGTCTGACGCACCGCGTCGGCTAGGCTAGATGGTCGCTCGCGGGCGCAACCAATCATATATAGGCGTGATGATTATGCCTGGTGTCTTACGTGCCAAAACCGCCACATGATTTTGAGGCACTCCGTAGTGAAGTTCAGGCTACGGAAATTTCATACATGGGGTGTTCTTTCAAGCGCTATGACATCGCACAGTACACAGGCCTCTACAAATTTCGCTCCACCGAATTTGGACCGCCGCGGCCGAGATCGCACCCGCGACCTTCGGGTCTGTCGAGCACCGCAACCACTGATCTACCATGGCAGAGTGGGTTGCTGATCGGGCGAGTTGGTCATCCATGAACGTAGCGTGTATTAGCGCAGTACATAAAAAGAAAGGGACACGACACAGACGTAGAGATAGGTAGCGCCTACCTATCTCTACGTATGTGTCGTGTCCCTTTTTTTTTATGTACTGCGCTAATACACGCTACGTTCATGGCAGACTGCATTTACTGTACAGTACACGCATATTACGAGCCCGTGCCGCACGCTTTACTTTTTGGTTGTCTTCATTTTATTTCTTGGTACAGGTGCGTCGAGGCCACTGACTTATCTGTGGCAGCACAGATAACGCCATTTTTAAGATTCGCGCGTCATCCTCACGCTGCAGAACGTGGGGGGGAAGTGCAGGAACGCCACTTCTACGGACACCACGCACTGGCCAGAATCGGGTCTTATCATGACTGCGCGCGCGTTGGGTCCTTCGACCGTCTTCGGCCACGGTAGCCACAGCCCAACTTCGCCGCTTCCGCTCGCCAGTCTGTGCGTCAGCGCTGCTGTCGCATGTAGAGTGTGTGGCCACTTATCTGCCCTTGTCCGCGCGCCAGGAACACGTGCACTCCAACCAATTGACAACTTGACAAGCTTCAATTAAGTTGCGCACCTTTCCGTTACATTGCTCATACGCTCTGTCGAGGTCAGCTATTAACGGTTTGCCAGACGATGCCATGACAAGCTTGACGCATTATAGTGTCGCATGGGCGCTGCTCGCACGTGCAACGCATGCCGTCGCTTCGTAAACGCGACGAGTACACGAGTGCAGTAAACAGGGGGGAAGTGATTTTTAAAAAGAAAAGTGAGCCCCCCCCCCCCTCCCCGTAACTGTCTCTCTGTGGGAGGACACCTCAACAGTAGCTCACGAGGGGTGGGGGTAGATAAGGGAATAAAAGGATATGATTAAAAGATAGAGAGATAGAGAGGAAGGAGAGAGCGAGGTGGTGAGACAGGGAGCGACGGAAGAGAGGGGAAGACAGGAAAGAAGGACACGGTTGCAGAAGTCCGAGGACGGGGCACCACAGGCGAGAGCTCTTGTCGCGACAGGAGATGGCTAATCCAGTCGGCCAGAGCTACGCTGTCGTCGTAAAGGACCAGCGGCAGGAGGTGGCGTAGGACCAACGCAATCGACCAGAGCTACGCTGTTGTCGGAGATCGCGAGGGCACAACCGGTCGGCACGGAATCCAGCGAGCGAGTCCGCTAGACACTGTGTGCCTTTCCGCGGCCTTGGATGCGGCGGGGGCATTGCCAGCTAGCGGGTACTGGAGATCTCGCGCGCATGCGGGCAACGCCGCCTCCGGCAGGGCAGCATGCGCCGCAGTAACGATCCCGGAACGTACGAGGACCACGCGGCGCTTGTCGGAAGCCCGGAACACGACACAAACAGCAGCAAGCGCGCGGAGTCGAGGGAGGCCGCTATTTTCGAGGTTTCGGGGGCCTAACACCGAGACTTGGGGACCGCGGAGGCAAAAAAAGCGCCAGGCCGGCAGTGTACGCAGGGAAAGACAAGTGCGACGGGCGGAGTGGATGTCACAGTACGGAGCACCGCTGCTTATAACCATATCGCAGTTTCGGGGCGCCTTGAAACTCCAACAATTAATATTAATATTATTGTAGATATAACGATGCTCGCTCATTCTGGGCGTCTCGAAAAAAGTATGACAATTGCTCCCTTTGACACTTGTTTATTACGGTGGCTTCCGTTCCTTTCACAAAAGATGCAGCTTTTGTGAATGGTATACATGACGCTAGGCCAACCTAGGCCATGACGCTAGGCCAACCGTGACTGCGCGCATTCCACAACCGCGCAGCTGCTGAGGAAGCATTTGTGGAGCGGTGACCCGACCGATAACATTCAGCGGTTTTTTTTTCTCCCCCTTCCATATCTCTGAGCGAAAGAACTGCTTATCGAGCCGGTCGCGGGTACACGCGCGAGGTTCATATCGCGCAGACGCTGGCGCTTGATAGCGCGAACGGTATACACTATACCGACGTTGATTAGACGGCGTCCACGTCAACAGGTTCGGCGCAATGTTTATATGGGTCGTCGTTGACTCACACGCTGCGCGACGACTGCCACACGGCTGTGCAGCCA